CAAGTCAATTTCTGGGGGTAAGACCCAGGTACTCGTATCTTTAACATCGCTAGGTGGTTATATTGTGCAGTTAAGTTTGAGAACTAGGGAACCACTACAGTGGTTTCTAAAGCAGCATCACCATCACCTGGGTGCTTGTTAGAAATGCATATTCTCAGGCCTCCCTTCAGACCTGCTGAATTAGAAACTCTAGAGATGGTGGGGCCCAGCAATCTGTGTTTTAACAAGCCCTCCAGGTGACTGGGATGTGTACCAAAATTGAGAGCCACTGATCTAGATAAAGGTAGCTGCCTACTTGCTCTAGTGAACCTCTCTCTATCCTCACATACAAGAAGACAAAAACTCCCAGTATACCACATTCTAAACCTATAGACCCTTTTCTTATGATGTGTCCATGCTTCTAGCTTTTCTTGAAATCATTCCATTATTTAGGATTGACCAAACTGAAAGTAAAAATATAAGTGCTAGAAAGCAAACATTTTTAAGCCTCATTTAACCTCAACCTCCTATTGCTTAAATATGGTCATTTTTTTCTTTATGCCATTTATAAATATTCTTTATCTCTTATTTTGTTGCCCTAAATTTTTATAATTAAGATTCTTCCTTTTATTAGTAGAACATTTTTGTCTATTTTCCTCTACATAAAAATCACTCATAGCACTCTGGGAGGCAAGGCGGGTGGATTGCTCGAGGTCAAGAGTTCGAAACCAGACCGAGCAAGAGAGCAAGAAAATTAATTGGCCAACTAATATATATAGAAAAATATCAGCCAGGCATGGTGGTGCATGCCTGTAGTCCCAGCTACTCGGGAGGCTGAGGCAGAAGGATCACTTGAGCCCAGGAGATTGAGGTTGCTGTGAGCTAGGCTGATGCCAGGGCATTTACTGTAGCCTGGGCAACAAAGCGAGACTCTGTCTCAAAAAAAAAAAAAAAAAAAAAAAAATTAGCACCATAATACAAGTGTTGAGAATTAATTCTGGAACACTGATGAAATTAAGTCAATGTATATTTCTAATTTTAATAATTATTTTGAATTTCATTCATTCGTCTGAGAATGATTTGGGGCAGAGGTGGGGAACCTGCGGCCTTTAAGGCCACACCTAAGGACCTAGAAGGCCACACGTGGCCTTAAGCCTACAAGTTCCCCACCCCTGATTATTTCTTATGTTCTAAGTCTTAATAGCTCCTGGAGGAAAGAAGATATTAAGATAGATAAGTATATTATTTATCCTCAGATACCTCTGGGCTAGTTGAGGACATAGATAGAGGAGAAAAATTAAAATAGAATAATTGCTATAATAAATATAAATATAACCATATAACGAACTGTGTGAGAAATGAAGAGAAAGGAACAAACGCTGCCTGAATAAGGTGAGAGAGCCTTCAGAAAGCAGGTAGCATTTAGGAGTTTTTCACATAGAGAACATACCAGGCACCAGGCAGAGGAGACATGTTAGGTACACATGGTACAACAAGGGAATTCAAGTTGTCTGTCTCTTTATGACCTTAAATATTCAGAGTTGAAGACAATTTCTTACCCAAAGTCAAGTGCAAAGTCTAAGAGTAGTCCTCAAACAGAATAAAGAAGGGGAACAAATTATTATGAAGTAACAACTATGTATCAGGTGCTATGCTAGGCACTAGTGTATAGAACAACTGAAATCATTATTAAGGCTACTATTAATAACAGTCCCTATTATTCCCAGTTCTTACTCTTAGGAATAGTCTGTTTACCTTGACTCAAAGAGACCAGTCATCTTCATCAGTCCAAAGATGAATGATTAATTGCTTGGGTATCTATTACTCCTCTTCTCTGAACAATCTTTGATTCCCAGAGAAGGCTGAACTGCCTAGGCATCCAGATTAAATACTGTGGCAGTAAATGCAGGCATATGCTCATTCAGAGGTGTATTTGGAGAGGAAGTCAAGTGTTATTCAATATGGCAGATACATCCTCTTCTGAGGAAGAACCACAAGGCTTTTTCAAAGATCCACATTTGTATACTAAACATGGGGAAATCTATAGAACTAAGGCTGCTTATTGATTACTTTTTTTTCCTCCATTAGGTATGAAGATGATAAAAAAGAATGGGCCGGGATGTTGAAGGAAATACGTTATGCTTCAGGAGCTAGTTGCCTAGCAACACGTTTAAATCTCTTCAAACTGTCTAAACTGTAAACAAGGTGACAAAACATAATAGATTGGGAGGTAGTTTGTTTGGTAAATAGGGCTTTAATTCATTCTGTTTTTTAAAAGCTTGTACAGAGATTCATGTAGAAATTATTCAGAAAGTTATTGTCTAAAAGTGAGCAGTAGGTATCAAAACCTCAAAGTCATTAAATCTTCAATCTAATGATTAGAGCGTAAAAACATTTTCTAGTAAGAAATTAAATATCCAGTTAAACAAATTATTTATTTCGTCTATGTCTCACTCAATGGATCATAAGGAAGGTTCCTAAATTTGAGCTGTTTACTAATCCTTTCATTTGCATTGTTAGGGTAACTTTACGCTCATTTTCTGTTACAAATGGAACTGGAGAATGAAATATGCACATTTACATTTTTTAAAAAGTTAAAAATATCAAAAGCCTTTCCTTCTGCTTTAAAGAGGACAAGAGTCCTGTGCATTGTATCAAAGATTACCTGCCATAAGAAGACTTCGGAAATGCTTTTTAAAGAGTTTAATAAATGGGTCTCATTTGAAGGGGAAAAGTCTCTAAGTAAAAGTAGTCAAATTCAAATGGTCTTTCTTTTTTCTCCATTCTTTTTGCGACACTGGCATATTATTCGTGATTTCCAAATCAAATTTTAAAAATTTTAAATCTAAAACGAAGTAAATTACAGTGTTCAAGCCATTAACTACAGCGTCTGTGGCAGGAGGGTAGAGGAGCACCCTCAGGAAATGGACGGATTCTTTAAACTGCTGGGGCAGAAGCTGGGGGCAGTGGGTAATGTGAAGAAGGATATGTACTCATTGATTTAAATTTTAGATATATTTTCCATGAAAGGGCTGCCTATTTGCTAAATTTCTGAACTCCTGGGGTCAAAGGATCCTTTCACCTCACCCTCCTAAGTAGCTGAGACTACAGGCGTGTGCTACCAAACCTGGCTCATTTTAGTATTTTAAACATGTACTTCAACTAAGTCGAAACCAAGTATCAATGGAGCAAATTACATGTAGGACACATATTTTAAAGCTGTCACACTCTGGCTACCAACTTATTTGGAACTTAGTGAATTTAGATGGTCGTGGAGTCAAAAGATAGCCAAGTTTCAGATGGCCATTTACCTCCAGCCCTACCGGGTTGCCTGTGGGTGGTTTTCAATGGCTTTCTGCTAAGCACAAATGTGTCATTCTTGGAGAAAGGGTTGAGAATTATATTCACATAGCAGGCCCTTAGTAACTATTTTATTGAATAAATGTGTTATGAGACAGATTAAAAATCATTATTCCCTCAGCATGTGTAGGATCAGACCAGGTCAAGGTTGGTCCACTCAGCTATTACCCCATTACTTTGCTTCCATTTAGAAGAAAACTCACATCTCCTCCTATTTTCTCTTAAACCCACCAGGCTTTCACATTCAACACTTCACCAAAACAGGCTCTTTTCAAGGTACTAATAATTTTCATGTTGCTAAATTTAATGAACATTTTTTCAGTCCTCATCTTACCTGACCTGTCAGCAACTGCTATAACTACTCACCTTCTCCTACAAATGCTTTTGAGAGTTGGCTTATAGGAAGTATTACTACTGCTTTCTCTGACTTTTCTTCCTACTTCATTGGCCACCCCTGCTTAGTCTCCTTTGCTGGTTCTTCTTTTTCCTCTTGATCTCTTAATGTTGAAGTGCCCTGAAACTTAGTTCTCAGAGCTCTTTTCCATTCATACTCTTCTCTAATCACATCTTAAGTGATATTTATTTATTTATTTGAGACAGAGTCTCACTTTGTTGCCCAGGCTAGAGTGCCATGGCATCAGCCTAGCTCATAGCAACCTCAAACTCCTGGGCTCAAGCAATCCTCCTGCCTCAGCCTCCTGAGTAGCTGGGACTACAGGCATGCGCCACCATGCCCAGCTAATTTTTTCTATATATATTAGTTGGCCAATTAATTTCTTTCTATTTATAGTAGAGACGGGGTCTTGCTCTTGCTCAGGCTGGTTTCGAACTCCTGACCTCAAACAATCTGCCTGCCTTGGCCTCCCAGAGTGCTAGGATTACAGGCGTGAGCCACTGCACCCGGCCTCTTAAGTGATTTTATCTAGTCTTATGGCATTAAATACTGCTGACAACTTCCAAATTTTTTATCTGGAGCCCGGACCTTTTCGCTGACCTCCAAACTCATTTCTTAAATTTTCTATTTGATAGATCCACTTATATGTTTAAAAGGTATGACAAACTTAATATGTCTAAAATAAAGTTGTGACCTTCTCCCTATCTAGCCCCTTATCTTGCTCTTCCCATAGCCTTCCCTATCTCAGTTAATGGAAATGACATGCTTTTAGTTGCTTTAGGACAAAAATTTAGAAGTATCCTTGACTCCAGTTTCTTTCATACCTCATATCTAATCAATGAGCAAATTTTATTAACTTTACCTTCAAAATATATCCAAAAATCTCACCATTGCTCATTACCGCCAATGCCATTATTCTCTCCAAACCTCCACCCATTTCTTGCCTGGATTACTGCAACAACTTTGTCATGGGTTTCCCTGCTTACACATGTGCTACACTGCAGTCTTGACCCATCTCAACAAGGTAGCCAAAGTGATGCAATTAAAATGGAAGTTTTTACAATTCTTTGCTTGAAACCCTCCAATGGCTTCTCTTCTCACTCAGAGTATCCCTGAGAGCATATAGATTTGTCTCTGTTATCTCTCACCTTTTCTCTTATTATACTCCCACCTCCCTAACCACTTGTTCTGTTCCAGCCACGCTGGATCCCTTGTCATTCTCAAACACACAAGGCATATTCCTATCTTATGAAACTTATACCTAATATTTTTTAATTGAGTCAGGCCATTTAATTAAAACAAGTTCAAATATGACATTCCATGATAACTCATTTTAAATAAAAACTACAATCATGATTTGCCTTCTCTAAATATACGTTCTCTTAGGTAGTCCATCCGAGCATCCTTTGTTGATAGAGCCATAGAGTTCCATTCAAAATGAGGGATCTGTAAAATAAGTAATGCAGTTTGAATGAAAGTTTTAAAAGCAACAACAAAAGACATGGCAGAATATGTATAAGCACTACTGAGCAAAGCTGTAGGAATCCTATGTAAATTAGTTTACATAAGCACAGCCTATGAATCTTTTTTGGAAGCCAAGTGGATCCCTCTTCCCAATATTTCCTGGAAAACTTTTTCTGTCTCACAGCTTCTTTCATCCTCCTGTTCCTACAATATCAACAATGGAAATTTTTTCCTACATACCTTTTTACATTCATACACTAGTCTTTTTCTCTGATAACTCTATCCACCTTCATACTGCCTCTCTCCTTTATAAGATAAATATACAAACAACAGATCTTCTAAAGATAATAAAAGGAACAATAATTTGTATTTCTTATTCTACAAAAAAAGATATTTTCTTTCAGTGATACTTTAATATAACTTTTTTAAATATAAAAGTAATTCTAGAACTTTCATATTAAAAGGAAATATGTGTATAGAGAGTATCTCTGGGATTTTTGGAGGCTGAATTACGTAAGTATTTCATACCTGAATTACATGATAGCCCAAAATTTCCAAATGTCTTTTTTTCATAGCAGATTTTCCTTTTATGTGAGGGATGTTCTTACAAAAAGCTTTTGAATCCAAAAATTCCAAAGCAATCCTACATAAGATAAAAATAAACATTTACTTCCAAAATCAAAACAAGAAACAGTATTATAAGCCTTTCAGGAACAAGACTGCATCTTCATAAACTAACAAGCCAAATGAATATAAATTAGTATAACAAGTTATTTTTCCATGGAAGAAATTAGTAACTGATGACAAATCTCTTCATTTACACAAAAATTATGGTAAATATCTACCTGCTTTCATCCATTTGTTTGTCTACTATATATTTATTACACACCTACTGTATGTTAGGGGCACTGTGAGTGATACCAGGATAAAACAACATAGCTTATATTGAGCAGAGAACATAAGCTGTACAGTAAGTCACTGCAATCCAGTATAGGAAGTGGCTAAGTACTATGAGAAAAGTAGAGAGGTTTGGGAGCACAAAAGAAGATAATATTTTACTTCCAGTTGAGGACAATTAGGTTAGCACTTTAGTTGGGGAGATTGCTAGGCTTTGGACAAGAGAAGAAAGGACATTAAGGCATAAAGGGCAGGAAAAGCGAAAGTAAAGAGGTAGAACACATGAGATATATGAGGAACAAATTCTGCTACATTCAATTCTTCATAACTAAGTTCATTACATTATGCCAAATTTAATATTCAGATAAAATCTAAAACTAAAACACAAATACCTTTCAGCTCCTGGTGGCAGTCTTGATCCAACTATTTGAGTATTTGATTTCCAGTGCATTTCTGGTAGTTGTCCCCAAGTTATATTATGGTTTCCATAAGGAAGAGGTTTTTTCCTTTTATCCAAGATACACTCAAAATCTTAATGAAGTATAGAAATTAGCAGTATGAATTAGGTAAATTTTTTTTTTTTTTTTTGAGACAGAGTCTCACTCTGTTGCCCAGGCTAGAGTGAGTGCCGTGGCATCAGCCTAGCTCACAGCAACCTCAAACTCCTGGGCTCAAGCAATCCTCCTGCCTCAGCCTCCTGCGTAGCTGGGACTACAGGCATGTGCCACCACGCCCGGCTAATTTTTTCTATATATATCTTAGTTGGCCAAATAATTTCTTTCTATTTATAGTAGAGACGGGGTCTCGCTCTTGCTCAGGCTGGTTTCGAACTCCTGACCTTAAGCAATCCACCCGCCTCAGCCTCCCAGAGAGCTAGGATTACAGGCGTGAGCCACCGCGCCTGGCTTGAATTAGGTAAATTTTTATAGGAAAAGTTTAAGATATATTTTAAATATATTTATACATATATATGTAAACACACACACATGAAAAGAATGATGAACCTCCCTAATTATCCAACTTACTTTATAAGATCTGGTCCAATGGTACCTCTCTTTGGAATCAATCAATAAAAATCAACCGGCAAGAATTACTAAACTATATTAAGCACAGGACTACATTTAGCACTGTGCTAGGCCAAATCACATTAAAAGGTTTTATTTTAATCTCCTCAAGTCTCTTGGTCATATTTAGAGAAAGATAAACCAACTCATTTGAAAACTAGTAAGGACAAAACAATTCAAGTATTTATCCTGTCTTTCCTATATGAACTGTACATAAGAATAACTGAATAAATGATATAGGAAAGTTGTTTTTAGACAAATTTCAGCTAAAAAATATAGAAGGAATGATAGGTGTAGAATATCGCTACTTTGCCACCCCTAATCAATAATGGAGTTAGGCAATGAGTGATGATTAATAGCTGCTATAATCAGTAGGTGAAAAGCTGAGGAGGGAGGGATGAATGAATGAATCGGCTGACAACATACAAACCCACTGATGAATCTTAATATAATAAAAGACAATCAGCACTGTGTGCCTCCTGATATGATGCAATAAGTACACATCACCTATCAAGTAGCCTAGCAAAAATATAAAACAAAAATAACTAACCTAAAATCTAATTTAAGCCTCTAGATATAATTACTGGTTTATAGGAAATACAGGGGAAATAGGAGCATGTTAAATGATGCCACAGGGTTGTAATAAAAAAAGTCTAGAAAGTGAAAAAAAAAATTCTTAATTAAATTGTACATGAAAAAAAAGGGAGAAAGGTACAAGGTAGAACTTAAAAAGACAAATTAACCAAATGCAATTTTCGGCTCCCAATTTGAACAAATACACTATAAAATAAAATATAAGACAATTGGAACATAAAAGCTATGTGATAATAAGATATTATTGCTCTCTCTCTTTTTTCATACTGTGGCAAGGGGTCCAGTTGTCATCTGTGGAGTGTGTATCTTGCTCTGTAAACCTACATCTTGCTCGTGCCCTGTAATCCTATTATAATCCTATCTTTCTCGCCTCAATAAATTTCACCTCATGCTTGCCTTAATAAAAAAAAATATTGAGCCGGACACGGTGGCTCACGCCTGTAATCCTAGCACTCTGGGAGGCTGAGGCGGGCGGATTGCTCAAGGTCAGGAGTTCGAAACCAGCCTGAGCAAGAGCAAGACCCCGTCTCTACTATAAATAGAAAGAAATTAATTGGCCAACTAATATATATATAAAATTAGCCGGGCATGGTGGCACATGCCTGTAGTCCCAGCTACTCGGGAGGCTGAGGCAGAAGGATTGCTTGAGCCCAGGAGTTTGAGATTGCTGTGAGCTAGGCTGACACCACGGCACTCACTCTAGCCTGGGCAACAAGCGAGACTCTGTCTCAAAAAAAAAAATATTGTTAATGACTATAGGTGTGATAATGATGGTACTGTTGTTATACTTCTAAAGTCACCCTTATCTTTTACATATACATCCTGAAATGACATATTATCTGTGATTTGCTTGAAAAAGAATCAGGTGCAACTCTGGTGAGTGGATGTTGGTAACTGTTGACTGGATTAGGGTTCATTATATTATTCTACTTTTGTATATGCTTGCAATTTTTCCATAATAAAAATAACCCTAAAAGTATTTAAACCAGAAAAAAGAAAGAATGACTGGAAAAGAGGAAATACTAATTATCTACTTTTTACACATAAGAGAAATTGGAGAACTGAACAATCTTCAAGATAATTATGAAATATAAACTATTTAGTGCTCTTATTAAGAATAAATTCTGGAGCTAGAATGCCTAGGTCAAATCCTGCCTCTGTTATTTGGCAGGTATATATAACCTTGGGCAATCAATAGTGTCTTTGGCCAGGCTTGGTGGCTCACACCTGTTATCCAGATGTTTTGGGAGGCCAAGGCAGGAGGACTGCTTGAGGCCAGGAATTCAAGCCCAGCCTGGAGAACATAGCAAGACCCCATCTCTACAAAAAATAAGAAATATTAGCCGAGTGTGGTGGCATGCACCTTTTGTCCCAGTTACCTGGGAAGCTGAGGCAGCCTTAAGCACAGGAGTGTGAGGTTATAGTGAGTTGACTGTACCACTGCACTCCAACCTGGGTGACAGAGTGAAACCTCATCTCTAAAAAAATAGTAATATAATAATAATAATGATGATGTTTCTGGGCCTCAGTTCCCACATCTGTAAAACAGAATAATTTAGGGATATAAAAAATAAGTTTGCCATATATATATATGAAGAGAGAGAGAGAGCCCTTAATCAGTGTCTAACACATAATAAGCAATATGTAAGTATATCCATTATTGTTGTTAAATGCAATAGCAACATTCTTTGACAGATGTATATACGAGCAAAAATCTTACAGATTAACTAAATCATAGCATAGCATACTCATTAAATTAAATATGCAGTCACTAAAAAAGATGCTGTGTATCTGTTGGCACAAAAAAATATTCACAACATATAAAGTCACAGACTGCTACAATCTGGCCAGACTCAGCAGTTCGTGTCTATAATCCTAGCACTCTGGGAGGCTGAGGCAGAAGGATCACTTGGGCTCAGAAGTTCAAGACCAGCCTGAGCAAGAGTGAGACCAGTCTCTACTAAAAATAGAAAAAATTAGCCAGGTGAGGTGCTATGTGCCTGTAGTCCCAGATACTCAAGAGGCTGAGGCAGGAGGATCGCTTGAGCTCAGGAATTTGAGGTTGCAGTGAGCAATGATGATGCCACTGCACTATAGCCCAGACAATAGAGTGGGACCCTATCTCAATAATAATAATAATAACAACAACAATAATGAAGTTTGAAATATCAGGAGAATTACCAAAATGTGACACAGATACACAAATAAAAATATACATCTACATACATACATATACATCCTGTATGTATGTATGCAGATGTTTTTTAAACCTAAATTTAGAAAGTTCATGTTAATTCTCTTAAACTTTTATCTTTTTCATTTAAGCCCAGCACTTGGATTTAGCAATATCTTTTTAAAATTTATATTGCCATCAACATAAGCTAATCCACTAGCTTTGTGTCATTCACAATTAAGTCAGAATGCCTTCTACACTAGACCACCTGAAAAACAAGACTGATCAGGTAAGCATCAAGCACAATACCTCTGGAAATCTTCAACCAGGCTGATAATCAAACTTAGTTTTTGAGATGAAGTTAAAACAAGGGAATAGAGAGAAGTAATTTCCCTTACCTTAGAAAGGACAGAATCTTTTTTTTTTTTTTTTTTTTTTTTTGAGGCAGAGTCTCACTCTGTGGCCCGGGCTAGAGTATTATGGCGTCAGCCTCCCTCATAGCAACCTCAAACTCCTGGGCTCAGGTGATCCTCCTGCCTCAGCCTCCTGAGTAGCTAGGACTACAGGTACGCACCACCATGCCGGCTAATTTTTATATATATATATTTTTAGCTGGCCAATTAATTTCTTTCTATTTTTTAGTTGTGACAGAGTCTCACTCTTGCTCAGGCTGGTTTCAAACTCCTGACCTTGAGCGATCCTCTCGCCTCGGCCTCCCAGAGTGTTAGGATTACAGGTGTGAGCCACCGCGCCTGGCCGAGGACAGAATTTTTTGAAGATCCAGAAATGTTCAGTGAATCTGAATTTGGGTTTTACATAGAATTGGTAAAAGACTGACCATTTTTTTTTTTTAAGAACAGCAAAATGCTCATAGTTAATCAAACCTGAATCATAGGAACTTGGGAACTTGAGGATTCATTGTATTATTCTTTCTACTTTTGTCTTGATAATAACTTGAAAAAAAATTTTTTTTAACTTATTTTTTAAATTCCAACTGATAAAATTATTCTATTCAAATTATTTTGGTTTTCTGAAAGTAGCTAATGACCTACTGATAACTTACCTATTGTGTAGTAATAAGGTGTAAGAACCGAGGCTTTTACACAATTGATTCCTCCTAGTACCTCTGCTAACATTTTATAAATCTGCTGTTGTGCTCCATTCATGCTGCCAATATCTTTATAAAAATAAAAATAATTAGTACACTTAAGTTAATCGGTGTTTGAATGAAAATTATCCCAATTCTACAAACTGAAAAATAAAGATTAATATATCCAATAAGAGCTTCAATGTAATACCATATGTAATGACACCAAATCCAATATAGGACAAGTTCTTTGCTCTCAACCAGAAGACGTTTCATGTCTCAAATATTAAGAAATTGTTACAATAAAAATCTCACTAAAAATTAAACAGGCCATGGCACCCTTGGGAACTCTGGTGTTATGTTTAGGTTTAACAAGAATAATAATGTACTATTTAATATTTACTTCAGAATTAAACTTTGATATCTGATCAAAAGAAAATTCAAACCTTTATTATATTGTTGACAGAAGCGGTCATGAAACCACGGAATCTGAAACTCTGGGCATTCCAAACAGACTGCTCTATTTAACTCCATAAGACGAAACTGGGCCCTCGTATTTAGAGATGAAGGTAAAACTGAAATTAATAAAATAATGGTTTTGACAGCTTAGACCTAACAAAGACAACCCATTTTTTTACATTCATTTATTGGTAGATGTTTACTTTCATACTATCAAATCACTTCATTTGCACATAAATGCTTTATATTTTTAAATTATTACATTCAATGGCATGATTAGAACCAATTCCTATGTTATTTTCACTAGTGAATGTTAAAACTACATTTAAAAAATACTATAAAAGTTTTTCATTGACCTAATATTCCACACTTAAGAATTTATGCTAAGGAAACAATGATTCATGTGTAACAATTCATTATTTATAATAATGAGGAACTGGAAACAATCTATAACAACTGAATTTTATTATATCCATATAACGGTATATTATGTAGCCAATAAAAAATCATGACATCAAAAAATATTTAATGACATGGGAAATTACTCAAAATATAGTTAGAAAAAGGCAGCATATAAAAGTGAATATACATAGGAAAAATTAGCTGGGCATGGTGGCACGTGCCTGTAGTCCCAGCTACTCGGGAGGCTGAGGCAGCAGGATCACTTAAGCCCAGGAGTTTGAGGTTGCTGTGAGCTAGGCTGACGTCACAGCACTCTAGCCCAGGCAAGAGAGTGAGACTCTGACTCACACACACACACAAAAAAAGTGAATATACAAATAATCCAAATTTTATTTTAAAATATATAGACATACGCTGGAGAGCAGGAAAAAGACCAAAAAGAAATACTCTAGTACTTTAAAAGTGGTAGTTTCACTCAGTGGTAAGATTATGGGGTAATTCTTTATTTTCTATTTTATACTTTTGTGTGTTTTCCAAATTTTCAACAATAAGCATGAATACTTTTATAAACAGAAAAAAATTATTAACATTTAAATGCTTCAGTATAGGCAGAGCTGAGGTCTTGGATATAAAGTACAAGTGAGAATTTAATAGATTAAAAGGTAGATACGTACTTTCAAGTTGAGAATCCAATCTGGCTAAGAATTTGATGTTAAAAATTGCCTTTAACAGATCTTCTGGAAAATATTCAAGTGTGGCAAAAGAGAAACCAAGAAACACTAACATTAGAGGATCCAATACACCTAAAAGAAAATTAAGATTGTAAAGCCACGTTTTTAAAAAATGATACAAAGGCAGCCTAGATAAAACTGACCTATACTGTTATAACCTTATTTCCATACACAGTAGGAACAATTATCCCTGCTTTATAATTGATTGTAAGAAAACAAAGAGAAGTTAAATGACTTGCCTGAAAAACAGAGTTATCAAGTGAAAGGTAGGCTTTAATCCAGAAAGTCCAACTCTGGAGCCTAGACCACTATACCATGCTGCTCTCTGGGGATCTCACACACACACACGTTTGAAGCTCAGGTCTTGCCTAGCACCTCCTCCCTTACCTGTCACCCAGCAGCATGGCAGTGTCCCAGAGTATAAGGCTTGAGCTTATTTACTTGATTTGCCTCATCCAAGAGACATGTCTGATATGGGGGTAGGGGTCACCTAAAATGCCCTGTTGGCATCAATATGCTTACAAAGGGCAGAAAAGACAATATCATATCTCTCCTTTTGTATTTTTTGGTGAGTTTATTTAATGAAGCAAGACCAAGTCATAAATGAAATTAATAGTGATGATTTCTACCAGCAAAACTAATGTCAAAATTAATCTTTAGGCCAGGCACGGTGGCTCACGCCTGTAATCCTAGCACTCTGGGAGGCCAAGGCGGGTGGATTGCTCAAGGTCAGCTAGGCTGACACCACGGCACTCACTCTAGCCTGGGCAACAAAGTGAGACTCTGTCTCAAAAAAAAAATAAATAAATAATCTTTATTCAAAACAAAGAAAATTATTACTCTAGTAGTTATTAAATTTTTACTTATAAAGTTCTCTAAAAATTTTTCTTAGAGAATCTTTTCTAATTCTCTAAGTCTTAAAAAATCAAAGCTATACTTCTCAATCTTTCTTCTCTTAGACCTTCAGTAAAAAACAAACAAAAAATAAAAAAATACTTTCTAAGCTTCTATTTGTAGAATGAGTAGAGATGTACTTTCATTTCCTTTTGATTGTTGACACATGACTGAACAACCAGGAGAACATACTCTAGGTCTCAGTCTCATCTTCCTACCTATAGTTGTGTTACTAAAACAGGTCTAATGGATGCCACACATGCATACATCCATACACATATATACCCATATATATCACAGCCCCATTTTGTGGGCTGTGACACAGTAGTATCAGACATGGTTAGATACTGTCTGGCCTACAGATCCCACAAAAAGGTAGCAAAGCATGATACTGATACAATTAATATATATACTGGTTTCACAACAGCTTAACCAGAGATCTATATAAACAAACCCTAATGTAGAGCCTAACATCTTATGCTAGATGTGGAAGCTCTCAGTAAGTATCTTGGTAGATGACTGGGTAACTTACTTGGTAGGCATAGCAACAAGTTCTGAATAAACTAGTCTCTGGCTATTTCTCCAAGCTCAGCTCCTACTAAATCTCCCTCACACCATTCCTGCCACACTGAATCCACTATTTCTGGAAGAAACCAAACATGTTCTCACCTCAGGGCCCCTTATATTTACCTTTCTTTCATTCTATGACTCTCAACCCTCTCTATTGCCATAGGTCAATCCCTCACTTCATTTAGTCCATGGTTAAATGGCATCTTCTCAGAGAGGTAGTCCCTAAATCCCTTATCCAAAATAGCACTCCATCCCACCCCACCATGCACCATCCTACATACTTATCTGCTCTACCATTCTTGAGAGTACTTATCACCATTTGACCTTAGAGATTTGCTTACTGTTTACACCAGTCTCCCCCCATCAGAAAGTAAACTCAATGATGATAGTTTATCGGTTTTTACTTTTTTCTTGTATCTCCAGTGCCTAGAAGAATACCTGACAATAAGCACATGGTGAATGTTAACTGAAAAGGCAGCAACTACTGGGCCAGATATTTCAATTCTAAAACTTCCATATCATACTGACAAGTAAGCATTGTGAGTCTGAGAAGAAAAGTTCCATAAAGCTATGCTACTTGAAGGAAAAACGATACCAAATACAATTCAGGAACCAAAATAAAGAATGAAAAAGAAATGGGAAAAGTAATTTCCTGCCTCTGCTATCTTCACATACTGCTTCTGCTAAGACGAACAGTAGGAAGGACTGTTTCTAGTCTACTTTTTTCTAGTTCTGAAATACTATTTAACCCTTTGCACTCGCTTGCTTTTTTCTCATATCCACTCGACATTATCCACATTCGACATCCAAGTGCACTAAATACTTTTTAAGAGATAAAAAATAATCAGTACCAGAGCAGCCACCCTTCAAACAATTCAAAAATATCTATTAAGTCCCTTATGAAACATTCATTTACTTTTTAAAAATAGACTATTAAAATCAATAGAAATAATCACATATTATGTGCCTCCAGATGTGATCTAAATATAAGGTACACACAGCACCACACACAAGGTATTTTTGCTGAAAATGTTTAATGAACTTAATTAAACTTAATTAAGCATCTATATGTAACTTCTAGTTTACTGGAAATACAACCAGAATGTGGTACTACTTACAAAAAATGGCCAATCTCTTTTATAAAAAATAAGCATGAAGCAAAAAAAGATGGATAAAATGATAAACAAGCAACTCAATGTTGGTTGTTTAAAAAATGTTATATAAATGACAATTTGGTGACAACTGGGAAAATCTGATTATGGACTAGGTCGTGGATGATACTTGTTCATTTTCTTGGGTATTATCCTGATGTTCTGGTTACATAGGAGAATGTCCTTATAACCTGAAGTATATAGAGATGAAAACTGGAAGGTTCATCATATACACACATGTGCTTGCACACACACGTACTGACAAATATGGTAAGTATTAATCATTATTCAAGCTAGATGACACATTAGATATTAAGGGATTATTATTAAGTTTCTTAGGTATGCTAACAATATTGTAGTGATATAGAAGAATGTCATTATTTTTAGGAGATGCATGCTAAAATAAGTGGGGGTGAAAGGTCACAATGCCAACAGCTTTTTGAAATGGCACAGAAAAAAAGAGCAAGAAAGACAATAGGATAAGGCAAATGTAATAAAATGTTAACATCAGTGAATCTACACAGCAAATATATATAGGTTTCTTATTCAATTCTTTCCTTTTTTTTTTTTTTTTTTTGAGACCGAGTCATCACTTTGTTGTCCAGGCTTAGAGGATGCCGTGAGCGTAGCCTAGCTCACAGCAACTCAACTCCTGGTGGGACGAGTGATCTCTCTGCCTCAGCCTGCCGAGTAGCTGGGGACTACAGCATGTGATGCCACTATGCAGGCTAATTTTTTTCTATTATGTATATGATTCAGTTGGCCACCCATTAATGTTCTTCTCTGGTTATATTAAGAGACGGGTCTCGCTCTTGCTCAGGCTGGTTTTGAACTCCTGACTTGGCAATCGCCGCTCGGCCTCCCAAGAGCTAAGGATTACAGGTGAGCCAGCCCCGCTTCATCTTTATCAAAGTTTCACATTTTTCATAAGTACGAGAGTTTTGAAAGACGACACAAACTTTTTTAGGTGTAGAACATGTGTGAGGCTCAAAGCAGCATTCCTCTACATCATCCATGCAAGGGTAATATACCTACCTAAGTTAGAATTAAGGTGTCGCATACAAGTTGCAAAAAATTCATCCCTTTGAGGTGGATCATAGTTCAAGATGCTGAACGGAAAAATAATAGCAAGGATTACAAAAGGATGGATCTGTATAAAGAGAAAAAAATTATAATTTAGACTTCAGCAAAGCAAAATGAAATTTTAACCTAATTATTATTTTAGGTGAAGTCTTTTTCTAACATGCTTATCATTAAATAATAAGTGTATCTCTGCTTATTATTTTTTCTACCCTGCTATAGTTAATTTAACCCTACCACTAATTATTAGAACTCTAAAAGTATTAATGCAGAAAATAATAAGCTAGAAAATCTACAAATTTATTTTTTAGGTGCAATATCCTCTTCTAGAATTTATTAATCATTAAAATGATTAGGAAACAGTATCAATAATTTCCATGCTATCGATACATTTTATAAAATAATATAATGTAATTAATGAAGTTTATATATAATCATGAGGATTTATTTTTCTTTCTTTCATTCACTTTTTTTTTTTTTTTGAGACAGAGTCCCACTCTGTGGCCCAGGCTAGAGTGCCATGGCATCAGCCTCGCTCACAGCAACCTCAAATTCCTGGGCTCAGGCGATCCTACTGCCTCAGCCTCCCAAGTAGCTGGGACTACAGGCATGTGCCACCATACCCTGCTAATTTTTTCTATATATATTTTTTTAGTTGGCCAATTAATTTCTTTCTATTTATAGTAGAGACGGGGTCTTGCTCTTGTTCAGGCTGGTTTAGAACTCCTGACCTTGAGTGATCCTCCCACCTTGGCCTCCCAGAGTACTAGGATTACAGACATGAGCCACCGCACCTGGCCTCATTGACTTATTTCATCATTCACCCACTTATTCAATACCAGGCACTATGCTAAGCAAATAAGATAGACTTTTATTTTCATTTGTGAGAAATAATGTCTTCTAAATAAACGCTATACCCTGATATATCTACAATAGTCATTTTGTAAATGAGTTGCTTCTCACATAATTCATAAAGCAGCATTTTACAAGTCCCAGAAATAAATCTGTAAGAAGATACCCTGACAATTTAAGAATAATGATGTCAGTGGACACCTTATAATTTTTCTCAGCTTTCATGTTTATCCTGCACCTTTGAATGTAACTGTTTTTAAATAGTAAAAGTAATACCAAAGCATTATACAAAATTTTAAAAAGACGGTCAGGCATGGTAGCTCATGCCTGAAATCCTAGCCTTCGGTGAAACCAAGTGGGAGGACTACTTAAGGCCAGAAGTTCAAGACCAGCCTGAGCAAGAACTAGAGTGAGACCCAAGGTACCATCTCTACAAAAAAATGGAAAAATTAACCAGCCATGGTGGAATGCACCTGTAGCCCCAGCTACTTAGGAGACTCAGGCAGGAGAATTGCTAGAGCCTAAGGGTTTGAGGTTGCAGTGAACTATGATAATACCACTGCACTTTAGCTTAGGCAACAGAGCAAGACTCTTGTCTCAAAAGAAAAAGCAAAAATCATTCATATTCCACTATCCTAATGCAATTAGTATCCTCAAAGAATTCTGATTACTGATCTTAATGATATTACAATGAACCAAAGGATGATAGCTGATCTCCCCAAATCTACAATGCTAGAGGAAGAGCAGAAGCCAGAGTTTAATTTTTAAACTTCAAATTCTAATCCATGTTCTCAAACTGCTTATGATAAAAAATTATGCTTCTAGGACAGGCACAGTGGCTCACACCTGCAATCCTAGTTCTCTGGGAGGCCCAGGCAGGAGGATCGCTTGAGGTCAGGAGTTCGAGACCACCCTGAACAAGGGTAAGACCCCTATCTCTACTAAAAATAGAAAGAAATTAATTAGCCAACTAAAAATACGTAGAAAAACTTAGTCGGGCATGGTGGCACATGCCTGTAGTCCCAGCTACTTGGGACACTGAGGCAGAAGGATCACTTTAAGCCCAGGAGTTTGAGGTTGCTGTGAGCTAGGCTAACGCCATGGCACTTTAGCCCGGGCAACAGTTAGACTCTGTCTCAAAAAAAAAAAAAAAAAAAAAAAAAAAAAATGCTTCTAGAAGTTGACAACTATATAAAACTAACATGTAACATTTAAAGTTCACCTTTTCAATCTGCTGAATAACCACTGAGGCTATCCTATCAAGTAGCAAAGTACTGAGATAGTTAGTTCTTGAAATAAAAGATGCAATCCCTGCAACATTTTTGTAATTAATTTCTTCCATCAAACGCTGTATAGTAATAATTGTTTCTTCAAGAAGTGACTCAGGAAGCCATTCTCCTTTGAAAGATTTAAGTTCCTCCCATAATAGATCCAAATTATTGCTTTGTTGTAGTCTCTGATGACCATAATGATCTAATTTTTGAAGTAGTTTCAGTTGTTTCCCAGTAATAATATCCAAATGCAGGTGACCATAGTGAATCCATCTTAAAACAGATGTGGCAAAACCATTCAGGTCATTTAGGTCACACTGTGGTAAAACTGCTTCAATTCGAGATATCCCCACTTCATCCAGATGAGGAGAAGGAATCATAGAAACAGCACGGACCAGAATGGAAATCTCACTTGGTATAACACTAATTTTCAAATAACTATAAACAAAGGGGAAAAAATCAAAAGAACAAAATTAACACATTAGCAATAAAATCAAAATATATATGTATTAAAATGTGAATATATATTATTATTACTAGAATTAATAGGTTAGGTAAGGTAGGCCTAAGATACAAGTTAATTTAAGAAGAGTTAGGTAAATTCAAAGACAACAGATCTATAAAGGATTATTAATGGAAGCCTAAGATGTTCTGAAGCACATTTTAAATTTTTTTTTATGCAAAAATAGAGCCAGAGTCTCTGGCAAACAAAAGGTCTGTGTCAGAACAATGTTTCCAGTGCTGTTCCTGGGAAAGAACTTGGGCTCAATTTCTGATAATGATATGGCAGAAATCAATATGACCTCATATAGGCCCTGGCATATAGTGATCACTCAATAATATTGGTTCCCTTCTTATTTCTGGTACATAGAAATCCAACTAAACAAAAACAAACAAACAAGAAAACCACAGGACATAACACTGACATACAATTGACCCCATTCTCTACTTCTTTGCCAAATCCCCATGGTAAGAGTCCCACCACCAAGACTGCAATTGTTAAAAAATAAAGAAAGGCCAGGCCGGTGCTGTAATCCTAGCACTTTGGGAGGGTGAGGCAGAAGGACTGCTTAAAGTCAGGAGTTTGAGACCAGCCTGAGCAAGAGGGAGACCCCATCTCTACAAAAAAAAAACCCAAAATTAGCAAGGTGTGGTGTTGTCTGCCTGTTGTCCCAGCTACTTGGGAGTCTGAGGCAGAAGATCACTTGAGCCCAGGAGTCGGAGGTTGCAGGGAGCTATGATGACACCATTGCACTCTAGCCCAAGAAACACAGAGAAACTATCTCAAAAAAAAAAAAAAAAAAAGTCACTTATTCCCTAGCGTAAATTCTTCTTAACCATAATGGCATATCACTTTATTATGATAAAAATCATTTTTAACTACATGTCAATCTTTTGATTATGGCAGAGTCCCATGCCTGGTCTTTCAAAAATCACATTAAGAAACCAAACTTGGCCGGGTACGGTGGCTCACACCTGTAATCCTAGCACTCTGGGAGGCCGAGATGGGCACATTGCTCGAGGTCAGGAGTTTGAAACCAGCCTGAGCAAGCACTAGACCCCATCTCTACTAAAAATAGAAAGAAATTAATTGGCCAACTAACATATATATATAGAAAAAATTAGCCAGGCATGGTAGTGCATGGCTGTAGTCCTAGCCACTCGGGAGGCTGAGGCAGTAGGATCGCTTGAGCCCAGGAGTTTGAGATTGCTATGAGGTAGGCTGACACCACGGCACTCACTCTAGCCTGGGCAAGAGCCTGGGCAAAGCGAGACTGTCTCAAAAAAACAAAAAACCAAAAAAAACCAACCAACCTAGTAGTGAAAAATGGAGGGGAAAAAGATCAATTTGTTTGAACTTCATTTAAGCTATTCTGATTTATTGGTCCCAAGTAGCTGGGACTATAGTACCCACCACCACGCTCAGGTAATTTTTCATATTTTTTGTAAAGATGGGGTCTTGCTATGTTGCTCAGGCTGGTCTCTAACATGGCATGAGCCACTGAACTGGGCCCATTGTTCTGATGCTTAAAATAAAAACTGTCAACAGAAAATCTCATGTTAGCCTAATGAAAGTCAATGAAAAATCAGTAGCTTTAAACCTGAAATATAAATGCTATATCCATAGAAAACAAGGTACTTTTAAATTATAAAGAGAAAAATCTATATGAAAACACTTTTTCACTAACATTACCATTATATATCTTAATTTTAAAATTTCAAATTTAAAAATTTAATAAACCTTTAAACGAACAAGTAAGCAAGCTGAAGGAGTGCTCCCAAATAGAGTTTTGCGGCCTGGCATGGTGGCTCACGTCTGTAATCCTAGCACTCTGGGAGGCCGAGGCAGAAGGATTGCTCGAGGTCAAGAGTTCGAAACCAGCCTGAGCAAGAGGGAGACCCGTCTCTACTATAAATAGAAAGAAATTAATTGGCCAACTAATGTATATAGAAAAAATTAGCCAGGCATGGTGGTGCATGCCTGTAGTCCCAGCTACTCGGGAGGCTGAGGCAGCAGGATTGCTTGAGCCTAGGAGTTTGAGGTTGCTGTGAGCTAGGCTGACATCACAGCACTCACTCTAGCCTGGGCAACAAAGCGAGACTCTGTCTCAAAATAAATAAATAAATAAAATAAAATTGGTGCAAGCTTAAGGAAGAGTAGTAATGAGTCAGGTGCTAATAAGGACAGGAATAATAAAAAAAAAATTACCCAGGCATGGTGGCACATGCCTGTAGTTCTAGCTACTCAGGAGGCTGAGGCAATAGGATTGCTTGAGCCCAGGAGATTAAGGTTGCTGTGAACTAGGCTGATGCCACAGCACTCACTCTAGCCTGGGCAACAAAGTGAGACTCTGTCTCAAAAAAAAATAGAGTTTTGCCTTCTTTGGGGACTCAACCTTCTGTTATTCTATTCCTGCAGGTAAGGAGAATGGCTTGGCTATTCACCAGTTTACTGCCATTTCTCTCCTAGGGAACTCAATTACCTTTGTGGCCTCATTTTATACCAAACAAGGGCATTGGCAGAATGAGCATGTTTCCATAATGATAAGTGTCTCAACATTTTTAACAATAAACTGTCCAATTATGCCTCTAAAAGTTCCAGCAACTTTGTACATAACTAAACAAAATAATATTGTAGCTAGATTATAAAATGAAACACTAAACACTTATATTTTAATCTTACCTAAGCAGTAATTCTCTGAGTTTCACAAAAAGCTCCTTACTTTGAAAATGTAGAAAATTCAAGGCTTGAGTTATTTTCAATAACTCTATTGGTTTATAGGTATCCAAATGTTTATGTAGAACTGAAGCAATTCTAAAAAGAGTGACAGAACATATAACCAGTTCATTCATTTACTTATTTAAACATTTACTGTGTTGCTTTTATGTCAGATATTCTGCTCTACGCTAAAGAAACAGTAATGAATGAGACAAGATTTTCTATTCTTGAAGAAATCTTTCACGATGGTGCTAGAAATATAAATAATTAATACAGAATGAAGAGTGATCAATGAAGTGTGAATGAAATAATATTCAATTATCAATAGTAAGAAGAGAGCACAGTTTTACTTCCTCACTCAATAAAACAAATCCTCACAGAACAGCCATGAGTTACTCATCCTCCCCATAACAAAATCTTTACCAAGAGTTACTAACAATTAGCAAAACTGATTTAATCTTCTTCCTTATATCCACTGGCTCTGAAATGGAGATGCTTAAAAGCAACAAGGAATGCTAAGGGGTGGTAAGCTAGAGGAAATGGGGCAGAAGAAATATTAAAATAAAGGAAAATACAATAGATTATAGAAAATAAAACATATATAATTAAGCATATATATATAAAAATATAATTATATATTTTTCTTTTCAAATCTCAAGTTATCAAAAAAGCCAATATATGGCAGTAAGGTTTCAAAGTACCATTGTGTTGTGAGACAATTAAAGTTCATATGGATATTAAAGTTTCTACTGAAACTTTCCTTTTGAAAAGTAAGGTCCTTTCTTTAAGCTCTCCACTTTACTAGACTATGATGCTTTGCTTGAGTATAAAAATAGCACCAAATGAAATGAAAGATGCAATAAACAATTTTGTCATCTCTATTTTGGGAAAAAAACTAGAACATAAATAATTCCTTAAGTGTTAATTCATTATTTCTTCAAAACAACAGCTAGATTAAATTTAAAAAATTTTTTCCTCAGAAAAATAGTCTATTTGTGAATGACAACTAAAGTTAACACCATAAATTTCAGAAAAAACTACTTTTTAATCAGATGTGAATTTCTGCTTTCCATCTCTTCCATTGCTCCCAACACTGCCAGGGCTTGCTGGCTGGTCAACTCCTCTGACATCAATAACATAGTTGATTTAAGTCTAAAAGCAAAGAAAAATATTTTTATGTTGAAAAATTAAAAATTAGTTGGAAAAATTGTTTTAAATAACATTTCTTAGGCAACAAATTGAAAAGAAATAATATAAACAAAAATTAAATACAATATATAATTCCAATCTCCTTCTCACATATTTGGGGATAATATAAAATTATTGAATCAAAGAAAAATATATTTTCTTCAAAGTAATTAAGGCCTCAGTATAATCTAATCTTAAACTGTTAGAAAAATACAGATAATCTTTTAATGATTTTCAAATAAGGTTATAATGATAATACTATGATTCTGTGAAGTTACTGAGTACTAGACAGCTAAGGAACTAATAACTGATATTCCAGCAATATCCCAATGTTTTAAAATTGAATGAAAACTAAGCAGGAAGTCAATAAACCTGCATATTATCAGAAATCTTACAAAATAAGCACTTGATGTAACACTATAAACTGAAAATCAACAAAGATGGTCCATTTTGAAGCTATCCAAAATGGTGCAGTAATGAAAGTATCAAGACTAATTTAGAAGGCAAGCCTAAAACATGTAATCTGAGGACAGCAGGATAAACTAATTGTCTATTCATACTGGATAACTTACCACCCTTTTCACCAACCTTTTCAAATGTTTCAAACCCAGCTTCTCTCCAGATTTTCTCCAACCACTCAGTTGACATTTTTCTCTCCTCTGTCTACAGCACTGACTAACTATATCACTAATTGTATTGCTTATTCATAAACTATGTTATGATGTTATGGTATATACATATTTCAATTATTTATTTCTACCCTCTCAACTGGAATATAAATTCCTTGAAGGCAGAGATTCGGTTAAATTCAACTTTTGTACTGCTGTAGGATGTGAGATTTTAATGGTACTTAGTGACAAAAAAAATACAATAAAGTTTTTCTTTGAGACAGAGTCTCACTCTGTTGCCCAGGCTAGAGTGCCGTGGTCTCAGCCTAGCTCACAGCCACCTCAAACTCCTGGGTTCAAGCAATCCTTCTGCCTTAGCCTCCTGAGTAGCTGGGACTACAGGCATGCACCACCATGCCCAGCTAATTTTTTCCATATATATTTTTAATTGGCTAATTAATTTCTATTTTTAGTAGAGACGGGGGCCACCCTCTTCCTCAGGCTGGTCTCCAACTCCTGATCTTGAGCGATCCACCTGCCTCAGCCTCCCAGAGTGCTAGGATTTTAGGCATGAGCCACCACGCCCGGCCTACAATAAAGTTTTTTAAATAATCATCTTATTTCCATCATGATATAATATTAAGATGTACTCTTAAATTTTTTCATATAATTCAAAGTACTCTAAAAAATAAAACTTTCTCCATAAAGTTTTTCCTAAAAGAGTAATGATGCAAAGTAGATTCCTCTATTTTGTAACTCCTCAAACTCCTGCTTAACTGAATCTACTAATCATATTTCTCTATTAGGACTACCATAATTCTAAATATTTCATACACTTATGCTACGTGGGAGAACGTAGCATAAGTGTATGAGAAGCTTTTATCTGTGTGTAAATCACAGAAGAAGCTTTTATCTGTGTGTAAATCCAGTCACATGGCCTAGGAAGAGAAAAATCTTATCTATTAACTATACTTATGTTATTAATTTAATATTTGCTCTTTATAACCCAAATATTTCTATTTACATCAATATCTGGTAAAACTGGAAATTCTTAAACGAGCCAGATAAAATTCACTCAAACCTGACATAGAAACATATATCAAGTACGTAATAAATGCTTTGATGAATGTGATAAAGACAACATAACATAAAATGGTCCATTATTACAACAACTATGATTCTAAATATTCCATACAAATATGCTGGGTAGGGGAGTCTTATGTCTGTGTAAAAATCTAGTCACATGGTCCAGGAAGGGAGAATAAAAACACTTATATGGTGTTTTCCCTCATCTTTTTCTGTGCTGGTCCTGCACCACAAGTTTATTGGACACTTTTCAGAATATAGCAATAGAGTAAGAGTTTGAGATGCAAATTATAATAAGAAGAAAAAAAATCAAAGAGCAGAGCATAACAGATTATTTTCCCTTCCACAATCTAATGGGGTGATTTTTTGTGCCTTCCAGAGCTGCAAGAAGACCTAAGCTCAAAGGCTCCATATATTCCCAACAAACAAAGTAAGCATTTTAAACTGAACTTACCGTTTCTTTTCTTTAGGTCCTGCTATGGGTCCCAATGCTACAAACAATTTTACAAAGCTAGCAGTGTGATCAAACAGAGGAATCATTTCAATTAGCCTCTTTTTAGCCATTGTAACAAACTCAAAATTATGAAACTGTAGAAACTGGTATAGACTAAGTATTTCACTGATGGAATCCAAATCAAGGTGGTTCGCATTACTTAAAAATATTTTATTACACCTTTCTAACAGTGGAGGATAACTATATTTAACATTTTGAAGAAATTGTACTGTTCTTCTTGCAATATCGACCTCAGAAGAATCTGTGGTGTCAAAAAGAAGTTCTATTTTGTTCACTAATTGTTCTTGAAAATATCGTGATATTAAAGAAGATATGTTGACCATCAAGACAGATAAGGACCTGAAAAAGAAAAAAGATGCAAAGATTTTTATATCACCTAAGAATAATGACCAATTCTGAAACTAAATGATTAGATATAGAAAGGAAGTGATAAAAATATTATGAGTTTTATACCACAAAATTTTTCTTTTAAATACTAGTGGGAGTTGAATTCTGATCTCCTAACAATCAATCACCCCTTTGAGACAAAAAGTACTAAAATAATATTTTGCATTGATTGTATAAAGTACCTTTTTCTGTAGCTAAAACAACATTGTCGGAGAATATTCTAGTGAAATTTACTCAGAAATCATTTTGGACCAATAACCCATGAATCAAACATTAAAAGTCTCATTTTGAATTTTTAGAAGTAGACGTTTTTATTATTCCTTTCTCTGCATAGGTATAATTTGCTAATAAAATGTTAGCAATATTTTTCTCACTATTGAATGATTTCATATTTTTTAACATTTTATGCTAGATTGATATTAATATACAACAAGACAGGTACTGAACAAGGGATGGCATTTAATATTTCTTAACTCAATAAACACTTAAGGAGCATAAGTCACTTTTCTAGGCACTATGGAAGACATCAAAATTACTAAGTTATGGTGCATGCTTTCAAAAGACTATTCTTCCATGATACAACAGAGAACTATACAAATACAAGAATGTACCTATAATGAATAAAGTATGAAAACAGAAAAGAAATAAAACAAATGCTTGGGGAAAATTAGAAAACAATCTACAAAAAAGACAAAAATACAAATCTAAAACCATCTCAACTATTAGGATAGTGAGACTGTTGGTATTTTTGTTCGTCTCTGAATTTCTCCAATCTTTTCAATAAAATAAATATTTTTGTTAAATTTCCAATTGTACAATATTTTGCCTTTTCCAGGTAAAATGTGTACTGTTAATATTAATTAATATTAATTAAAATACCATTGCTATTTAGTTTAACCACAAACCTCCAAAATTATTTTTTTAATTGTGTATTTATTTCTAATTGCAGTTTGCAGTGGAACAGTGTCCAAAGATTAGATTCTCAAAGGGGTCTATAAGATTTTTAAAAGCTAAAAAAATTACAGTTGATTTTCATTGTCACCACTTTTACAGGCTACTTTCAGGGCTGGGATGGGGGATAAATATACATAACAAAATTTTACCATTTCAACCATTTTTAAGAGTATGCTTCAGTGGTATTAAGGACATTCACATTGTTATGCAACCATCAACACCATCCACCTATAGAAGTTTTTCACCTTCCCAAGCTGAAACTCCTTATCTATTAAACAGTAACTCCCTATCCCTACTTCCCTCCATTCCCTGCCAATGACAATCCTACTTTCTATTTCTATGAATTTACCTCACATTAAGAGGAATCATACAATATTTGTCCTTTTGTGTCCAGCTTATTTCACTTAGCATAAAGTCTTCCATGTTCATCATCCATGTTCTTACATGTGTCAGAACGCCTCCTCCTTGGAGAGGAACCAGAAGCGTAAGGAAATTCTCACTTTTTTTTAAGACAGTCTCACTCTGTTGCCTGGGCTAGAGTGCCGTGGCATCAGCCTAGCTCACAGCAACTTCAAACTCCTGGGCTGAAGCAATCCTCCTGCCTCAGCCTCCCAAAGTAGCTGGGACTACAGGCATGTGCCACCATGCCCGGCTAATTTTTTCTCTATATTTTTAGTTGTCCAGCTAATTTCTTTCTATTTTTCAGTAGAGACAGGGTCTCACTCTTGCTCAGGCGGGTTTCAAACTCCTGGCCTTGAGCAGTCCACCCACCTCGGCCTCCCATAGTGCTAGGATTATAGGCATGAGCTACCATACCCAGCTGAGATTCTCACATTTTGAACAGATCATCTAGGAGAGAATACTAGGATTCACCAGGGAAGTGACGAGAAGCACCAAAAGTATATAAGGAGAAGGTTCAGAGTAAGTTGTCCAGCCAAGCACTGGCTAACAGGTAGGAAAAGCTCCTGGACACAGGGACACAGTGAGATAGAAGCCCCCAAAAAGAACTTTTACTATCTTGGGTACAAGAAAACCCCCTGACTCATACAGGACTTGAGTCTCACATAGGAAACTCCTTGGAGATTAAACAGAGACATTGATACAGGAAGGGAATCCATGCAAAATCCCACAGGCATCTGAGCCTACAGCAGCTTGAGCTGAGTGCCATTCTGAGAGCCTAGAAAATGGGGAACCATGGGCGTACCAGCAGTCATTGCGCAGCTGCAAGGAGGGATAGAGGAGCCCAGTGCTCCCATGCACCCCAGGGAAGGTCCCCACTGCCCTGCTTGTAGGCTGCTGCTAAGACTGAAATGTGAATGGAAAGCATTTTCCAGTTTCCTCCCCATGCTGCTTGCCTGGGTGGGGCCCCAACCTTTCCAGTTGTAGATCCAAAGTGCCAGTTTGAGAGTTTGGCACTGTGCTGTGTCCTGCCCTTGGGCTGATTTTGGATTGATGTGGTTGTAGCTGGGTAGAAGCAGTGAAACCAGGCTTTCCAGTATGCATCTGAGATGGTGCCCACCATTCTGCAGCCAGCCAGCTGCCATAGGATCACGTCTCAAGTAAAGTGCACTCCCCACAGTTTCCTGCCAACTCAACCAGCCTGAGAAGGGACCTACACCCTCTGGTTAAAGGCCCAATGTGCCATTTTGGGAGTTTAAAGCCAGGCAGCCCCCTGTCCTCAGGCTGAGCTTGGGCTGACACAGCTGAAGCCCCACCCAGCAGAGGAGGGATAGGGAAGGCCAAGCTCTCCTACACACATGTAGGACAATTCCCACCACCCTGCAACACACCCTTGTGAGACAGAGACATAAGCAGACCACACTCCCCAGTTTCATGCCCATGATGCTTGACTGAAATGGGCCCTGCTTTGTTTGATTGCAAGCCCACAGCCAGTGCCATTTTAAAAGTTTAACAATAACCCATGCCTCACCCTTGGGCAGAGGTACAGCAACCACTTAGCTAAGAAGGGAGGAGGAGACCAAGCTTTCCTAAGCACACTTAAGACAACATCCACCGATCTGTTACAGGCATCTGTGAGACTAGAGACTAGCCTGCCTAATCCACTGCAGCTACCAGAAATATCAACACAGATTACTTAGTTCCTAGTAGGTGGCTCCACCACCACTACTGCCATCTTCCACATCACACCAGCTGCTCAGGGGCCTATGAACCTGCCGACTCACCCAGACCTCTGCTCCAACTACTAGCTTCTAAACAAGCCACCTGAAGACCCAAGAATTGGCCCTCTAGCACACACTAACACCACTGTCAACATAAGTGGGCCTAAAATCAGGCATACTCAGACCACTGCTTCTACCACTAGGGCCCAAAGACTGGCTCAACTAGCATTCAAGTCCCCAACAAAATTTCCACAGCCTCAGCTAATAACTATTCCCTAAGCCATCAAAAATAATCACAGATACTATTGACCCTATGTACTGCCTAAGAAAACATACAAAGACCACACTACTGCAGATGCCCCAAATCAAAGCCAAAGTATCCTACTCAACCAACAACATATATATCTTCAGGGAAAAAAAAATCATCCCTTTCAAAAGCAATTTTTAAAAATCAGAACAAGTGACTACTACATCAGATGTACAGATGTCAGGAGAAAGACACAGGAAACATGAAAAAGCATGAAAATATGATACCACCAAAGGACCAGAACAATTGTCCAGCAATGGATCCAAATCAAAAAGAATTCCTCATTATGCCAGATAAAGAATTCCAAATATTGATTCTAAAGAAGCTGAATGACATGCAAGAGAAATCTGAAAACCAATACAAAGAAATCAAAAAATCAATTCACACTGTGAATGAGAAATATATCAACAAAATAGATATCTCTAAAAAAATGAAATAGGCCAGGCATAGTGGCTCACTGTAATACTAACACTTTTAGAGGCCAAGGCAGGTGGATTGCTTGAGGCTAGGAGTTCAAGATCAACCTGAGCAAGAGTGAGACCCCCATCATCTCTACAAAAAAAGAAAAAAAAAAATTAGGCAGGTATGGTGATGCACGCCTATAGTCCCTGCTACTCAGGAGACTGAGGCAGGAGGATCACCTGAGCTCTGGAGTTTTAGGTTACAGTGAGCTATGATGACAACACTGCACCCTAGCCCAGGCAAGACCCTGACTCAAAATAAAGAAATAACAATTCTGGAGCTAAAAAATTCATTGAAGGAAATACAAAACATATTTGAAAGTTTCAAAAACAAACTAGACCAAGCAAAAGAAAGAATCTCAGAACTTGAAGGCAGGACTTTTGAAATAATCCAGTCAGACAAAAATAAGGAAAAAAGAATTTTAAAAAAATAAGCAGGGCCACGCGTGGTGGCTCATGCCTGTAATCCTAGCACTCTGGGAGGCCGAGGTGGGAGGATCGCCTGAGGCCAAGAGTTTGAGGTTACTGTGAGTTAGGCCGATGCCATGGCACTCTAGCCTGGGCAACAGAGTAAGACTGTCAAAAAAAAAAAAAAAAAAAAATGAGCAAAGCCTTTAAGACACCTGGGACAACATAAAGCAAGTGAACTTACAAATTATTGATAGTCTCAAGGGGACAGAGAGATCAAAAGTTTAGAAATCCTATTTAAGGAAATAATCTATGAAAACTTCCCAGGACTAGCAAGAGAGTTATACATTTAGATACAGAAGTTCCAATGATCCTCAGGCCAATGCATTGCAAAAAAGACTTCACCATGGCATATTATAATCAGAATGACTAAAGTTGAAGTTAAAGAGAGAATTTTTAAATTAGTAAAAGAAAAGGGTCTAGTCACCTATAAAGGAAACCCTATCAGACTAACAACAGACCTCTCTGCAAAAACCTTATATGCCAGAAGAAAATGGGATGGCATTTTGAAAGTGCTGAAAAAAAAAACTCAATAGATACAGAAAAAGTATTTGATAAAATCCAGCATCCGTTCATGATAAAAACTCTCAAAAAATCTGGCATAGAAAGAATATGTCTCAAAATAATAAAAGCCATGTATGACAAACCCACGGTCAACATCATTCTAAATGCGGAAAAGTTGAAAGCATTCCCCCTAAGAATTGGAATAAGACATGGATGCCCACTTTCACTACTTCCATTCAACACTAAACTGGAAGTCCTAGCCAGAGCAATCAGGCAAGAGAAAGAAATAAAGGGCCTGAACATTGGAAATGAGAAAATCAAATTATCTGTTTGCCAATAACAACATCTTATACCTAGAAAACCCTAAGGATGCCTCCAAAAAGACTCCTAGATTTGATAAATGAATTCAGCAAAGTCTCAGGTAATAAAATCAATGTTCAAAAATCAATAGCATCTCTATACACCAACAATGACCAAGCTGAGAACCAAATAAAGAACTCAATCCCATTTATAATAGCTAGAAAAAATAAAATAAAATACCTAGGAATAAATTTAACCAAGGAGATGAAAGATCTTGCAAATAAGGTCAAATCTCAAACCCTGCACAGAGTTCAACGATATTATATTATACTCTATGTGTACCTTATGTGTAATCCCCAGAGCAACACTGCAATAGTATACTATTACTACTTCTATCTTGTAGATGATAATAAACTTCCAAGAGGTTAAGTAAATTAGCCTTACATCGTAGCCAATCTGTGTCTACATCTAAAGCCCTGGATTTTTATACCATAAGACAAGGCCCCTAAATAAATTTACCTTAAGTCCTGTATGGTTTCCAAGTTCTTATGTACAATATCAGCTATTTTTCCCATTAATGGACTAAAATACAAATGTTGATTTGCTAGGCAAGAGGAAAATACTGACAGGACATTAACATCAAACCTATTAAAGGAAATACATGAAGGAGATCATTAGTATTTACTTTTACTTAAAACATATAATACATAGTTATAAAAGAAAAGTAATCAAAAATACTATTAATATAATTTTTTTCTAAAATGTTGATATTATAAAAGTAACAAATCGTAACAGAATTTTTTTTTTTTTTTGAGAAAGAGTCTCACTTTGTTGCCCAGGCTAGAGTGAGTGCCCTGGCATCAGCCTAGCTCACAGCAACTTCAATCTCCTGGGCGTGATCCTACTGCCTCAGCCTTCTGAGTAGCCGGGACTACAGGCATGTGCCACCATGCCGGGCTAATTTTTTGTACATATATTTTTAGTTGGTCAATTAATTTCTTTCTATTTTTAGTAAAGACAGGGTCTTGCCCTTGCTCAGGCTGGTTTCAAACTCCTGAACTCGAGGGATTCTCTGGCCTTGGCCTCCCAGGGTGCTAGGATTACAGGAGTGAGCCACCGCACCCAGCCAAAATGGTTTTTTTTCCTTCCTTTTATATATATATATATATATATTTTTTTTTTTTTTTTGAGACAGAGTCTCCCTCTGTTGCCTGGGCTACAGTGCTGTGGCATTAGCCCAGCTCACAGCAACCTCAAACTCCTCGGCTCAAGGGATCCTCCTGTCTCAACCTCCCAAGTGACGGGAACTACAGGTGCAGGCCACAATGCCCAGCTAAGCTTTTTCTACTTTTAGTAGAGATGAGGGTCTCACTCTTCTCAGGCTAGTTCTGAACTCCTGAGCTCAAGTAATCCTCCCCCCTCAGCCTCACAGTGTGCTAGGATTATAGGTGTGAGCCACCGTGCCCAACCCAAAATGTTGATTATTATTATAAAAGTAACAAATTGTAACAGATAAAAAGTCAGATAAAGAAAGATAAAGATTTATAAAGGGCAAAAAATCACTCAAAATTACTTGAATCATTTACTTATTAATTTTTTTTTTTTTTTTTTTTTTGAGACAGAGTCTCACTTTGTTGCCCAGGCTAGAGTGAGTGCCATGGCGTCAGCCTGGCTCACAGCAACCTCAATCTCCTGGGCTCAGCGATCCTCCTGCCTCAGCCTCCGGAGTAGCTGGGACTACAGGCACGCGCCACCATGCCTGGCTAATTTTTTGTATATATATTTTTAGTTGGTCAATTAATTTCTTTCTATTTTTTTTGGTAGAGACGGGGTCTCGCTCAGGCTGGTTTCAAACTCGTGACCTTGAGCAATCCGCCCAAGGCCTCGGCCTCCCAAAGTGTTAGGATTACAGGCGTGTTAGGATTACAGGCCGGGCGCGGTGACTCACCGCGCCCGGCCTACTTATTAATTTTTTGAGGTGATAGAACAATTTTGACTCAATGTTGTATATTAACAAATATAACGCTGCTACTACAGTGCTGTAAAAAACTTCAGAATTTTTCTATAGGAAAAATGACCCAATTTCTTCAACAAGTAAATGGTAGAACAAAAGAGAGGGAAGAATTGTTTTAGATTATAAAAGACTTTGAATTCAGTAAAAGACAAGCATTAAAGTGGTTCATAACACCACAATATGTAGTAGTAAAAAACTGAAAACAATCTAAATGTTCATCGAGAGTACAATGGATGGGCCAGGCATGGTGGTTCACGCCTATAATCCTAGCACTCTGGGAGGCTGAGACGGGCGGACTGTTTAAGCTCAGGAGTTCGAGACCAGCCTGTGCAAGAGCAAGACCCCGGAGCTCTACTAAAAAAAAAAAAAATAAAGAAAGAAAGAAAGAAAGAAATTAGCTGCTAGGAGGCCAAGGTGGGTGGATCGCTTAAGGTCAGGAGTTCGAAACCAGTTTGAGCAAGAGTGAGACCCCGTCTCTACCATAAACAGAAAGAAATTAATTGGCCAACTAAAAATATATAGAAAAAATTAGCCAGGCATGATAGCGTGTGCCTGTAGTCCCAGCTACTCGGGAAGCTGAGGCAGAAGGATTGCTTGAGCCCAGGAGTGTGAGGTTGCTGTGAGCTAAGCTGACGCCACGGCACTATAGCCTGGGCAACAGAGTGAGACTCTGTCTCAAAAAAAAGGAAGAAAGAAAGAAATTAGCTGGACAACTAAAAAAATATATATAAATTAGCTGGGCATGGTGGTGCATGCCTATAGTCCCAGCTACTTGGAAGTCTGAGGCAGAAGGATTGCTTGAGCCCAGGAGTTTGAGGTTGCTGTGAGCTAGGCTGATGCCACAGCACTCTAGCCTGGGCAACAGAGTGAAGAGTGAGAATCTGTCTCAAAAATAAATAAACTTGGGCCGGGCGCTGTGGCTCACGCCTGTAATCCTAGCTCTTGGGAGGCCGAGGCGGGCGGATTGCTCAAGGTCAGGAGTTCAAAACCAGCCTGAGCAAGAGCGAGACCCCGTCTCTACTATAAACAGAAAGAAATTAATTGGCCAACTGATATATATATATAAAAATAACCGGGCATAGTGCACATGCCTGTAGTCCCAGCTACTCGGGAGGCTGAGGCAGAAGGATCACTCGAGCCCAGGAGTTGAGTTGCTTGACTAGGCTGACGCCACGGCACTCACTCTAGCCTGGACAACAAAGTGAGACTCTGTCTAAAAAAAATAAATAAATAAATAAATAAATAAATAAATAAACTTGGATTTCAAATACATGCTAATTATCCTTGCCATGAGCCATCATATAGTACTAATCCATAATAGACTATCCCATTTGAATCATTATAAATTATAGTTATAAAACATAAATTCATAGGTATTTTGGCAAGGTTATTGATTAATAGCTATTATAGTAATAAAAAATTAACCTCATAGACCACAAAGACTAAAAATTCAGAAATTAATGTTTATTCTATAACTGTTAGAAATTCTATATAGGAAATATAAATTAGGGTTTAAAAACTTTATAACCTAGTATTATTTTTAAAAAGTATTGCTACAAGAAAAAACCACCTAAAGTCATTACTTTCTGAGTTATTTTGAAATGAAGGAAAATTTTCAAGAAATATCTTACTGAGAAGTACAACTGTACGTTTATAATTTAAGTATCTAATACAGTAAACAGTAAGATCCAAAAAAGTTGCATAAATATACATGACATTTAATGTTGCTTTGAAGAGAAATAAAATGTTGTGACCTATTATCAACAATGACTAAATTCAATCCCAAAGATCAATAAGCAAATAATTCTTAGTGTTAGCAAAAACAATAAAATTACTCTGCTTACCCTCAATAAAAGATAGCTACAGGTAGAGAATACAAGAATACAGTAAATGAGAAGACAGATTTAGAGATTAACTGAAATCACAACTCAGATGAATGCATAATTTCTAAACCCAGAGAACTTCTAACCCTTGCTTAATTTAATCTAGCCTATGTGTCTATAATTGTAAGAATTTATCATGATTTCAGCTTTAAGAGCAACATGCTAAAAAACCAAAAAACAAAAATATTAGAATGCTTGCTCCTCTCTATCTATAAATAAATAGCTGTTTTTTTCTTCTTTATCTTAATCGAGCCTTTCCTTTCTGGTCTAGGTTTCTATTTGGTTTAGAGGGAGAATTCCTCTGTAGTTTTCAAAAACCTTCTCTCTCTTACCTTGATTTTCCCTTTCCAACCTAACACTTGCCTTATTCCACTAATAATGGACCTAGGTCATCCAGAATACCTAAGTTAAAAAATTCAAAATTTTCAGAGATATATGAAGATTTACCAAAATGAGCTGTGCTATTATCTCAGCTGTTTTATAAATGGAGCTTCTCATTTATCCTTACAAACTTATTTATATTGACAAGCGTACCCTGAAGAGATTTCCCATTTTTATACATAATTATCAATTACAGCAACATGCTGAAAATATAGCTGTGCATAGTATAGAAAATGATCAGGTCCACAGCAGTGAACCTGAAAGCTTTTCTCTTTAAAAAGCTTCTAAGTCACTTATAAGCTCTAGTCATTGCCTCTCCATAAAAATGGAGTGACAGACAAATAGTTACATGGTCTTCCTTTCTACTAAACCGGTGTCTTTTTTTTTTTTCTTCTATCATGGCTCCTACACTTCTAGGTTTTTATTGACAGCCAATCAATTGAGAATCTTTTCTGAGGCTGAATTCTTCCAGAAAAAAAGATTCAAAAAGGGTAGTCTTTAAATAGCTATGACTCTATTTTACTTTATATTTTGATTAATCTTATATATGGAAAAGCACACTGTTCCCCCCTGTTAAAGAGGGAATATTTAAAATGCTTTCTTTTCTCTCTTTAAGAAACAATACACATTACACAATAAAAAAAATTCTTGATCTAAACTGAGTTTAAATATATTTTTTTCAATGATGCTTGATAGGCAGGCAGCAGCTCCTTGTTCTCCTATTTCACTGTACTAACCCTGATCTTAGAAGCTGAACCCAGAGTACTTGCCTTTCCAGCCTTCTCCATGCTTCTGTAACTAGTGCTTCAACTAGTGGATCATGGGCCTCAATAGCAAACCTCAATAAAAACAAGAGATAAGCTTAGACATGGAATCTTTAAAAAAAAATAAAATAAAAATAAAATAAAAATAAAAACAAGAGAAAATAATTTTCTAGACATGAACATATTTATTTATTTATTTTATTCATTTATTTTTTGAGTCAGAGTCTCACTCTGTTGCCCAGGCTAAAGTGCTGTGGCATCAGCCTAGCTCGCAGCAACCTCAAACTCCTGGGCTCAAGCAATCCTCCTGCCTCAGCCTCCCGAATAGCTGGGACTACAGGCATGCGTCATCACGCCCGGCTAATTTTTTTCTATATATATTAGTTGGCCAATTAATTTCTTTCTATTTATAGTAGAGACAGGGTCTCCCTCCTGTTCAGGCTGGTTTCGAACTCCTGACCTTGAGCGATCCTCCCACCTCGGCTTCCCAGAGTGCTAGGATTACAGGCATGAGCCATTGCGCCCGGACCATGAACATATTTAAATCATTAAAAACAGATGCAGAAAGAATTATAATGCAAAAGTGAACTTCAATTATTTTCCTCTTACATAGGCAGTCCTTATTTCTGGCCCACTGCCATTTCAGTATTCTGATTTCTTAGTACAACCGAATAAACATTTATACTTTATACACTCTCACTCTTTTAAATGCTCCTTTCAAAATGCCTTTCACTGACCAATGAAAATATTTAATGAGGCAGGACGTGATGGCTCAGGCCTGTAATCCTAGCACTCTGGGAGGCTGAGACGGGAGGATCGCTCAAGGTCAGGAGTTGGAAACCAGCCTGAGCAAGAGCAAGACCCTCTCTCTACTAAAAATAGAAAGAAATTAATTGGCTGACTAAAAATATACAGAAAAATTAGCTGGGCATGGTTGTGCATGCCTGTAGTCTCAGTTGCTCGGGAGGCTGAGGCAGGAGGATTGCTTGAGCCCAGGAGTTTGAGGTTGCTGTGAGCTAGGCTGATGCCACGGCACTCATTCTAGCCTGGGCAACAAAGTGAGACTCTGTCTGAAAAAAAAAAGAAAAAAAGAATAAAAAAACAACAAAAAAACTAATACTACTAATAGGTATCAAAGAATATACTCCAAACATCTTTAAGTTATTAAATTATCAAGAAAACTATTTACTGAGTAAGAAAACATTATTTTTCATTTTAAAGAGATTTTTACAAAATTAAAATATAAACTATATAATCATTTCCATAAAATCTAAAAGTAAATTACTTACTGTTGTGTGATGTATAACACTTTCACAAGGGTATCATCATTCATTAATTTGAATTTATTTGCAGTTAAATTATAAAGAGTACGAAATTGAGGATGATCTCTGACATACTCAACATTTTTTAATACGCTGGTCTTCTGCTGTTGAAGCTGCCAAAGTATATTAAATGCACATCCCACTTGCCTTTCTGAAAGCATAGCTTTGTTTCTTTCAATAAGATCAAATATTTTCTCTTCATCTGTACACTTATTCATCTGGATAATTAATGGTTCACAAGTGAAGGGTCGAAATTGAAATGCTCTCCAGGAGAATGGACAAATAGCTCTTAGACGAAGCATATTTGTAACCAATGAGTCTAGAAAAAAAGGGTTTTTTTGCATTTATATCAAAAATTTTCTTAGGTAAATAAAAACCATCTCTAACTAGTAGTCAGGTGCAATATGATGATATAAAAATAATTGTTTTTCCTTCATGTATTTTGTTTCCATTATGATGGTTCTAAAGCATTCCAACAGTTTCTGTAAAAGAATTGGTTTAACACGGTTAGGTTTATATCATTAATATCAAATTAATTCCAAAGTTAAAATTAAAATAACAAGTTTTTTCTGCATTAACCAGAGAATTTTCTTAGTCTAAAGTAGGTAGCAAGATTTGATCCAAAACTAAATGTCCAGAAAAAGGAACTTCTTTCTGCACTCATCTAAAAAATGTTTACCCTTAGCCAGGCATGCTGGCCCATGCCTGTAGTCCCAGCTACTCAGGAGGCTGAGGCAGGATTTTGAAGTTGCTGTGAGCTAGGCTGATGCTACAGCACTTTAGCCCAGGCAACAGAGTGAGACTCTGTCTCAAAAAATAAATAAATAAATACATGCATAAAATAATGTTTACCTTGTTTACATATTAAATTGATATTTACATAAAGTCTTCAAATTTGTCCATAAAAGCAGAAGGAAAGAAAATATACAAACTCAAAATATCTTTTTGAATAAAAGAGTAAAATTGTTTGAAATACATAAATATATCACCTTTAAAGTTTCTAAAAATAGTAGTTATTAATTCAGAGCCATAACTTAAAACTTTTTTTCCAGAAGGATGGTCTCTACTATATTTGCTTTAAGGATAATTTCTTTTTTTCTTTCTTTTTTCTTTTTATTTAAATAAATTTTAATTTTCTTTACTTTTTTTTTCTTCTTGAGGGTGTTAATACAGTTGTGGGTAATTTCTTGCTTCTTTCTTCTTGTGCCCTGAAAGAACTCAAACAATTTAATCAATACTGGCCTTAGACAGGATTTAAACAATAAATGAGACAAGTAAAGCACCAGTCAAGAAATATTAAGAAATCAAGTAATATTTCAAGACATTTTGAAGCAATATATTAACTAAAGATAATTATGAAAAACAATAATCTTTTTAAGAATATAGTATAAATGTTTACATTTATAATTGAGAAGCAATGGTTAGAAAAGCAGGAACTAAAATTATATCATCTATTAGTTCTGCAACATGTTACAATTTACAAAGAACTTTTAAAATACATTATCTCATTAAATTCTCTCAACTAACCTTCCAGGTAGATATCATCATTTCCATTTATTCCATTTTACAGATAAGGAAAACTAGGTTCAAAAAGGCTAAAAAAAGGCCGGGCGCGGTGGCTCACGCCTGTAATCCTAGCTCTCTGGGAGGCCGAGGCGGGCGGATTGCTCGAGGTCAGGAGTTCGAAACCAGCCTGAGCAAGAGCGAGACCCCGTCTCTACTATAAATAGAAAGAAATTAATTGGCCAACTAATACATATAGAAAAAATTAGCCGGGCATGGTGGCGCATGCCTGTAGTCCCAGCTACTCGGGAGGCTGAGGCAGAAGGATTGCTTGAGCCAGGAGTTTGAGGTTGCTGTGAGCTAGGCTGACGCCACGGCACTCACTCTAGCCTGGGCAACAAAGTGAGACTCTGTCTCAAAAAAAAAAAAAACAAAAAGGCTAAAAAAAAAAACTGCTCTAGTACTACTTGAGGCTGGGACTACAACCCAGTTCTTTCTACTTGAACAGCCTTATCACATCAACAAACCAACACGTAGGTATTGTATCAGTAAAAGTATGCCTGAGACCCTCTCTATGGCTTTGCCAAGCTGTCTGTTCACAAACAAATATGATGCAACTGTACTAGCTATTTTGTGGCAATCAATACAGCATCCTGACCCAAAGTGACCTGGGTCTCATACCAACACAAAAAGCTCTGCAAAGCAAGGTATCCTCAAGACACTATCCATCCCACAACTCATACTGGAGGCCATTCAATGGTTAGAATACCCCACCTGAATGATCCTGGAGAAGTAACCAAAGAAGGGGCCTTGGGACTATTAAGTGAAGGACAGGTACGACGGTAAACAGGTATACTGCAGGGTAAACAGTGACACGGTTTGCAAGAGACAGGGGTACTCTCCGCCAGGCATACAATAGACCTGAACATGAATGCGGTCTCCACCGTCCTGGCTAGGAATGGGCTCAGGCCAGCCCTAGTCCTCCACGCTTCAAAGAACCCAATATCCCGACGGAAGCCTCCGTATCTCGATGGAATCCTGCGTCCCTGCCCCGAAGCCGCGCTGGGTGAGAAAAGAACCGCCACTGCTAACCGGCCCTAACTTGCCAGCAAGGCTTTCCCTCAACGCCTATTAACTTTTCTGGAAGATCCCGGAAGAAGCCTGCTTACAAAGGCTCAGAAGTCAGGGTTATAGGTGCCTAACAACGAATGTAACAGGCTCAGTTGTCTCGCTCACCCCTCTTATCCCGGTGTTTTTAGCCTTTCCTTGAGACCCATCACCTTTCCCCACGTAGAGTCTGCCCCAAATCGAGGGAAAAAATGCCGGGGGAGAGCCGCATGCGCAGCGGAAGGCACACACTACATATCCCAGGAGGCGTTGCGGCGAGGTCGGCGGAATGGGCGTCCCCTACGCATTTGGGGGAATTCTGGACATTGTAGTTCTTCATTGAGACAGACTAGCTCAGGATGTCTCAACCTGTTGAAGAAGACATAGGTCTTTCAGGTCAGTGTTTCTCTACTATCTGAGGGATTTTTTCCCTACTCCTTAGAGGACTGATTTTTTTTTTTGAGACAGAGTCTCACTTTGTTGCCCAGACTAGAGTGAGTGCCATGGCGTCAGCCTAGCTCACAGCAACCTCAAACTCCTGGGCTCAAGCAATCCTACTGCCTCAGCCTCCAGAGTTAACTGAGACTACAGGCATGCGCCACCATGCCCAGCTAATTTTTTCTATATATATTAGTTGGCCAGTTAATTTCTTTCTATTTATAGTAGAGACGGGTCTCGCCCTTGCTCAGGCTGATTTCAAACTCCTGACCTGGAGCAATCTGCCGGCCTCGGCCTCCCAGAGTGCTAGGATTACAGGCGTGAGCCACTGCGCCGGGCCAGGACTGATATTTTATAATATGCAAAAAAATAAAAATCTGAAGAGGGAAAAATAAAAAAATACCATTGAAGACCAAAAATAAATAAATATATTTTTAAAATTTAGGAAAATGAAATTTAAAAGTGTAAACATGGAAATGACACGTATATATTTTTATTTCTTATTATTTTCACAATATATAAAATAATACTATCAAGTAGCTATAAAATTATCAAAATTCTGACTCTCAATTTCTGTTCTTATGTTGTGGACAGGTATCAGTTCTCAAATACTCTTTTTAAAAAAATTACAATAGTACTTTATTTTAACAGTCACAAGACTTGACATTTAAAAAAAGATACTTTAATAAAGGGGCCGGGCGCGGTGGCTCACGCCTGTAATCCTAGCTCTCTGAGAGGCCGAGGCGGGCGGATTGCTCGAGGTCAGGAGTTCAAAACCAGCCTGAGCAAGAGCGAGACCCGTCTCTACTATAAATAGAAAGAAATTAATTGGCCAACTAATATATATAGAAAAAATTAGCCAGGCATGGTGGCGCATGCCTGTAGTCCCAGCTACTTGGGAGGCTGAGGCAGAAGGATTGCTTGAGCCCAGGAGTTTGAGGTTGCTGTGAGCTAGGGTGACGCCACGGCACTCACTGTAGCCTAGGCAACAAAGCGAGACTCTGTCTCAAAAAAAAAAAAAAAAAAAGATACCTTAATAAATAACAAAAGAGGAATGCTTATCAAAGTTACAACAGACATAATGTTCAGGTGAGAATCCTTTCAATGAAGTAAGAGTCTAAAGATACAAGAGAAACTGATACTTCTTGGAATATGCCATGCAACTTTCTTACTGTGTGAGTTTTAGAGGCAGCCCTGGTTCTATGTGGTCAGGGTTATAGTCATATAACCGGTTTTAGCACAATTGGTTTTGTCTGATGTTGGTGTTCTGTGAAATTGTTTATGTTGAACAGGAGAACACCAAGACTAAGCTGTGAGTGACAGACCAGCTCCTGGTGACACTAAGGCCTAACTGATAATGCCAGGATAGTTTTTTACTGTTTGAGGGCTGTTTCCTTCTCATCTGTGGAATTGTGAGGAGACTGGCCTGAGGAACAAATGCCGGCAGTTTGTGTTCCTGGAATGTTTTTGTGAGAAAAGGAAACACTTTTTGTTTAGTCACTATTAGTGTCTTTTTTATTTTTCTTTCTTTCTTTTTTTTTTTTCTTAGCCCATCTCTGCCAAGTGACTTTTTTCTTTACCGGCATTCATAACATACATATTTGTATACAAATCACACCTTAGAATAAAATTAAGGTAATAATTTAAACCTACCTCCTGTTATATGTGGTTTTGTCATTAAATAATTGCAGCATTTTGGTCATGTTTAAATATTCCTTGTGGAATTCCACATCAGCCTGGGCAACATAGCAAGACCCCATCTCTAAAAAAAAAAAAATTAAGAAAAATTAGCCAAGCATGGTGGTACATGCCTATAGATCCAGCTACTGGGGAGGCTAAGGCAGGAGGATCACATGAGTCTGGGAGTTTGAGGCTGCAGTGAGCTCTGATCACACCAATGTACTCTATTCTGGGTGACAGAACAAGATCTTGTCTCAAAAAAAAAAAAAGAATTTGTGAACATATATTTTTTGGGGTAGGGGGCCCACTATGTTGCCCAGACAAGTGCAGTGGCTATTTACAGGTGTACTCTTAGTGTACTATAGCCTCAAACTCCTGACTTCAAGCATCCTCCCTTCTCAGCCTCCCAAATAGCTGAGGACTACAGTTGTGTACCATCATGCCTGGCTATGTGGACATATTTTAAAGCCACCACACTGTCCATTAGTTCTGTTTCATGAAGTAATACATTCCCCTTTTTACCTAAGATGGTTAACATTAGGTTTCTGTTATTTGTAAATGAGACCTCTAATACTATCACCAAAAGACATCCATAATAAGAATATAAATTGGAGGCCGGGCGCTGTGGCTCACGCCTGTAATCCTAGCTCTTGGGAGGCCGGGGCGGGCGGATTGCTCAAGGTCAGGAGTTCAAAACCAGCCTGAGCAAGAGCGAGACCCCGCCTCTACTATAAATAGAAAGAAATCAATTGGCCAACTGATATATATATATAAAAAATTAGCCGGGCATGGTGGCGCATGCCTGTAGTCCCAGCTACTCGGGAGGCTGAGGCAGAAGGGATTGCTTGAGCCCAGGAGTTTGAGGTTGCTGTGAGCTAGGCTGACGCCACGGCACTCACTCTAGCCTGGACAACAAAGCGAGACTCTGTCTCAAAAAAAAAAAAGAATATAAATTGGAACAACCACTCTTTGTAAAAACTCTTTGGCATCATCTACCAAAGCTGAATCTACCCATACCTTAGAATCTAGCAATTCTATTCCTAAATATATTTCCAACATATATGCAATATATGTATTCTAATACACTAAGTATAAGAATGTTTATAGAAGCTTTATTCATAATAGTTAAAACCTGAAAACAAAAGGGTACATATGCATAATTCCATTTATATAAGGTTCAAAAACATGCAAAACTGGCCAGGAGTGGTGGCTCACGCCTGTAATCCTAGCACTCTGGGAAGCCGAGGTCGGCAGATTGTTTGAGCTCAGGAGTTCTAGACCAGCCTGAGCAAGAGCGAGACCCCGTCTCTACCAAAAATAGAAAAAATTAGCTAGGCATAGTGGTGCATGCCTGTAGTCCCAGCTACTCAGGAAACTGAGGCAGAAGGATAGCTTGAGCCCAGGAGTTTGAGGTTGCTGTGAGCTAGGCTGATGCCAGGGCACTCTAGCTGGGGCAACAGAATGAGACTCTATCTCAAAAAAAAAAGAAAAAAAAAAAAGAAAAACTAATATATACTGATGGAACTCAAAATAGAGGTTATTTTTGGCAGGGGTAGGGGTCGGGTGGTGAAATTAGTGGGAGGTGGCATGAGGAAGGCTTCTGGGTTGCTGATAGTGCTTTTGCTCTCTGCCTTAATCTAGTGGAGGTTATGCCTGTATTTTCACTTTGCAAAAATGTATTCAACTATATTTGTGATGTATGAATGAATCTTAAACTTTAATTTAAAATCTTATCTTAAAGAAAGGCATGCAAATAAGACAAGAGCTAACTAACTAAAGCCACACTTGAAAATCCCTGTTTGTTTTTTTCTTAAGACAGAGTCTCACTCTATTGCCCTGGCTAGAGTGCCATGGCCTCAGCCTAGCTCACATCAATCTCAAACTCCTCAGCCTCCCGAGTAGCTGGGACTACAGGCATGCACAACCATGCCTGGCTAATTTTTTCTATATATTTTTGGTTGGCCAATGAATTTCTTTCTATTTTTAATAGACATGGGGTCTCCTCTTGTTCAGGCTGGTCTCAAATTCCTGAGCTGAAACTATCTGCCCGCCTTGGCCTCCCAAAGTGCTAGGATTACAGGTGTGAGCCACCATGCCCAGCCGGAAATCCCTGTTTTAATGATCATAAAAATATTTTTTTTGTTTTTAAATTTGCTAATTTTTTTTTTTTTTGAAAGAGCATCTCACTCTGTTGCCTGGGCTAGAGTGCAGTGGCACCATCATAATTCACTGCAACCTCAAATTCCTGGGCTCAAGTGATCCTCCTGGCTCAGCCTCCCAAAGTAGCTAGGATTACAGACACTTTTTGTAGATACAGGGTCTCGCTATGTTGTCCAAGCTGTCTCAAAATCCTGGCCTCAAGTGATCCTCCCAACCTGGCCTCCCAAAATGCTAGGATTACAAGTGTGAGCCACTGTGCCTGGTCTAAAAATATTTCAAAACACTAAAACATTACAGTGAATCTTGTGTCTACCCACAGTATAGAATGGTCACACTAATTATGTAAATACTATCTTTTCCGCCGGGTGTTGTGGTTCATGCCTGTAATCCTAGCACTCTAGGAGGCCAAGGCGTGCGGATCATTTGAGCTGAGGTGTTCAAGACCAGCCAGAGCAAGAACGAGACCCCATCTCTACTGAAAAAATAGAAAGAAATTAATTGGCCAACTAAAAATATATATATTTAAAAAATTAGCTGGGCATGATGGCACATTCCTGTAGTAGTCCCAGTTACTCAGGAGGCTGAGGCAGAAGGATCCCTTGAGCCCAGGAATTTGAGGTTGCTGTGAGCTAGGCTGACACCACGGCACTCTAGTTGGGGCAACAAGAGTGAGACTCTGTCTCCAAAAATAATAATAATAATACTATCTTTTAAGGGTATTATATGGTCCAGACTGTTAATTTTCCATTATAATACAATGTTTTTAATTTTTATTTTTGTTTGTTTTAAATGTAGAAAACAGAAATGGTACATTTATTTGTAACTCAAACACTAAGCAGGTAGGGTGAGAGAGTCAACAGAAACTCAGAAAGTTTCCCCCCAGCCCCATTTCTCCAAAGTTGCCTGGTCAACAGGAATCTTGGGGAGAACACCCAGACAAGAGGACCTGTCAGCGAAGTCTCCGGTCTGGACTCCGGCTGCGCCTTCAGCCACGTCTCCTCTTGCCCTCGGGTGGATCCCGAACAAACACCAGTCAACACTGATTGGTTGTCCCATCAAATCCTGGCCACTGAGTCCCTCCAGAGCAGCACGGGCTTCCTGGTATGTTTCATACTCCAGTAGAGCATAGCCCTTCAGGTATCCAGTTCTGTCCAGATTGAGGTGGATGTTTTTCATTTCCCCGTATTCTGTGAATTTGTCGTGGACGTCTTCTTCAGTGGCTTCCTCGGAGACTCCGGTGATAAAGAGAATCCAGCCTTCAACAGAGCGCCGTGGGCCGGGTTCATGACCGTCCTGCTCCACACTGGATGCTCCCGCATCCACGCTCTCGACCCCTCTTGGGAGCCAAAGCCTCGACCCTTCCGTTTCTTTGCTTTTTCTTTCAGCTTGTGAATGCTCTTGTGCCCATCGTCATCCATGATGAAATCTTCACCCCTGGCCTCGTGGAGGTCCAGCATATCCGCCATCGTGCCTTCCTTGGAGCTCTCTGTTGGCTATGGTGTTTGGAGATTTCAAGTTTCACTTAACCCCTTAGAGCTGGGTGTGGTGGCTCATGCCTGTAATCCTATCAACCTTGGAAACCCAAGGTGGGAGGGGATTGCTTGAAGCCAGGGTTTAAGACCAGCCCGAGCAATTATAATACATTTTTGTTTTCTTTCTAGGCACATGCCATGATTATTTCCCTTATTATTGGGTTCGAAACTGTAATTTTGTCCTCACTGATGGAATTAGAGCCAAAGTGGCATGTGCAGTAGCATGTTCTGGTTTAGGCCTTAAAACATTCTCTTCTTTTCTCTTCCTGCAAGCTGAAACTCAAAGCAACACACTCTAATCTTGTAATGATAAGACCCTGAGGTACACTGAAATAACATGATGGGAGAAACTAAAGCCCCTAAATAACTACATGGTGCAGAGCTGACCTCTCAACTGGGCTACTTACCTAAGATCTATCATGTAAGAGAGAAATAAACCCATTAAAGTCAGTTTTATTGGAGATTACAATATTTCCTTTTACTTGCAACATATTCTTTTTTGGAACAATAAATCCATGTCCAATCAATTTGGGAAAGTTTGGGATTTCAGACCAATGAAATTTCAGTGTGTTTGGGGCTCAACACAACATGCCAGCTTTTCATTTGTCCAAGTAAGGACATCTGGAGAAAGAAAACAACTATCATATTCTACAACCATCATTTCACAAAAGGATAGTTAACACTAAAAAAAGGTGACAAACTTAATTTCAAAACAAAACAGACCATTTTTCCTAAGGACAGAGAAGTGAAAACTTCATTGTGGCTCAGAACCAGCCACCAGTCCTGGAACTGACATGGCTAATGCTGGTTCAAAACTTCTTTTGAGTCTCCTAAAATCTAACCATTTATAATATATACTAAAGCTAATAAGTACTTATTAATATTTTACTATTAAATAATTCTTCAATCACTTTATATATGTCTCTTTCTCTATGAAGATATAGAAGGTATGTAGATGTATACCCTGTAATAAGACAAGTAATATTACCTTTGTATACCTCAAAATGTTAATTATGGTATAATAATCTGTATCATATCCTCAAAAAATGTCTCTGACTGAAGGAGTGAGAAAGAGAGAGAATACATCAATACAACAACTATGCCACTTACACATTACCTCTACAAGTAAGTGGAAACCTAAGAAACTAATTTGTATATCATAGCTAAAAAAGCATATATTCTAAAGGAAGCTGCACAACAAACCAATGCTCATAGAAAGTCATCTTTTAAAAAATAGTTTTCTCAGTGGTACTTAATATAATCTTTTAAGGTATTGCAGAATTGCTCTGCCCACTGCAAAGTGTAAATCTATTCAAACTCTGGACAGTCTAAATATGAGTATGCTACTGCTCTCCTGCTATAAGGGCAAAGGTGGGCAAGGGACAAGGGGTGGCAGTTCCTTGGCAACATTGTCCTCTCAGTTTTACTGCTATGTAAAATTGGTCAAGCCCCTTATATGTACCACATGCCTAATTGTGCTGACAATTAATTTACCTGAGGTAAATGAGTGAAAATTTTAAATGATCATAACTTACATTTTTTTAAACCATAGGAGCAATTTATGTCCTATAGCTAGCTTTAACTATAGGAACTACAGGAGCTATAGTTCCTTTAAAACACATTCCACATCCCTACAAGGATAGCTGCCCCTTCCCCAGCCCAAATAGCAGTGATTATTTCTAATATAATCCAGGGACCCTTACCCTTTAAAATAACTGAATAATAATATATGACATATTTTCCTTAGAAGGCACTGGATTTGGAATCAAAAGACTTGCTTTGGTACTTACGAACAGTGTGTTTGAGAGGGAGGTATATCTTCCCTGAGCCTCAATTTCTTTATCTGTAAAATAACAACAGCAAAGAAGGTTAATACCCTTTGCAATTTTCTCCTTTCCTCAAATAGCACTTTGCTCATTGCTGCGTTTTAGAACTTGTATCCTAGCGTTAACTGGAAGTTGAAATGGAAACTCTATGAAGGTAGGGTTCCTTTCCAATACCCTGCCAGAGATCAGTAAGTGTTTATTAAATGAAGCACTTCATTTCACGAACGATATGGCATTTTGACGGTTACAAACGTTCCCAGTCAACTCAACTAGCTATCTGAAAGGCATCAAAATCCTAGAAATTCAGAGAGGTAGTAGTGACGCAAGCAAAGGAACGCCGGGAGATCCCGTCAATCAACCCATGACGCACTTCCGGTGCGACGCTTTCCCTCCACGCCGGGACGGGCTGTGGGGGAGGGAGGCGGTTAGCGGGCTTTAGCGCCTTTTCTGGCGGCGGTAGATTTGAAGCGCTTTAAAGGACCTGACCCGGGGAAGAGGAAACTCTACCGGTGCAGGTAAGTGGCTTGAATCTCATGTTATTTTGATGGCGTCATTTGCAGCAGTCCCGGGTACGAGAGCTGCAAGTGGTCAGGGAGACGGGCGGAGCCGGCGCGGCAGGCCGGACCAGGTTAACCGTCTTCCTCTCGAGGTATCTGGGCTCCTTGGGCCTAGAGGGGGCACTTGAGAACCTCAAGACTGGCTTTTGCAGCTGGAGAAGGCTTCCAGCCGAGCCTCCCAGGCTTGGGAACGGCCCTTCCTATGCCAGCCCCCGCCCTCCCCACTACGGCTCACACCTCCCTCCCTGACGCATTTTGCCGCACAAGCTGTAATATGGCGGCAGCGATGGCGGCCTGAACTCTAGGGATCCGGGTTGATTTTTAATGCTTCAAAATCGTAAGACTGAGCACTACTGCAGGGTAGGTGGAAGGGTTGGTAGGAAACTGGGAGGCGCAACCTGAGGTCCTGTCAGTTTAGGGTTGGAGAGTGACGGGCGAAGAGCCTGCATGACAGGGATTAAAATTGAAGACAAGCTTTTCCTACTACTCCGACCTTTTTCTCTCGCAGGACAGCGGTTGTCGTGCATAGTTAAGTGGCCCAGGCCACTATGTTAAGCATTCTCCTAAAACTCAAATCCAGTGTCTAACCTGAGCTCTTAGGAAGTTCTCCCACGTTTTCGAGGAGCTGTGAGCTGAGGAGGCCTTTAAGAGGAGATCATTTCTCTTTAGGAGGAAGGGTGATGGTTTCGGAGCCCCATATGCCTTAAGGAGAAGTGTGCTAATTGGTTGATCTTTAGTCTTAAGGAGCAAAGTCTGGGTCTACTGGCAAGGAGAACGCCCAGTGGTTTTGAAAATGTTGTAAAAGCACCATTTTGTGCATTGGTTTTTTATTTCGTCCCACAACGGTACTTTCTGTATAGTACCAAAATTTTGCAGTAGCGATCACAAACACAGCATCCAAGGAACAATGAGATGTTTTAGAAATTTGGGGGTCCGATAATAACTCTCAGTAGGTAAAACCAGAAAGGGGGAAATACATATGTTTATTATGTCTGTGTGTATTCCTAGCTGGTAAAGGAGGATGGCCCGTATTTGCTAGTTCGTAACAATGATGGGGGGAGGGGAGGGAGAGAACATTTTATAAATTTTGAAATCGTGCCATAAAATCTGGAAAAAATACAAGTTGCTAGAATGGTTGCTTCTGTCCTTGGTGTTTTTTATATACCTGAAAATTTGCCTGTTTTAGTACCTTCTCCTTTTTTTTATGTTAACCATTTGAAATGGGATCATTTCCACAAGAAATTACATACGCCTTTGACCCATTGTACATTGTTTAACAGTTTTTTTATGATTCAGAATTATTGATGCTCGGAGATCCTATAGGGTCTTGTAATAAAATTCTGCCATTTGAATTGTGTTTCTTTCTTAAGGCTTTTTGTACTCTGCAGGCAGTTGTTAGGGTTGCCTTCCCCTGCTGTCAGGAGTGTATATGTGTGCAAACTTAATAGGTTAGAAAATTTGTATTTTCTGGCCAGTCTTCTGAGTGTCGGTTTCTTCATCTGCAAGATGACATTGTTTTGATTTCCAGCTGTCATCAGCTATGGGCTTGAAAAATACTCAGGTTTGTTAAAAGACAATTCAGCGGTTTTACTGTGAGTGAAGAACATTCATTACATTTATTTTGACTTATTAAAGCATTTATTTTTTAGTGCTTGTTGGGTTTTTTGGTTTTATTTTGTTTAATTACATAAACTCAATGTACAATGGTGCTTGTTATTGTGGTCTTATAGTATTGGTGGCCTATGCGTAGGGTCTTTGTCTTTTTGATATTTTGCCTATTTTAAATTAGATTTTCTGGCAGGTGGCATCCCATTCTTTATGCAAAGGGAAATTGGTGGCCATTTATAATAGAAAGATGAACTAGTTCTATTAGTTATGACATTATCTGCAATTCTCTAAATACTAGTTTCTTCTCTTAGGAAATACATGTTGACTCCCCCCCTTATTACTTTACAAATAGAGTATTTCAACAAAATTATAACTATTTTCAGTATCCTAATGTACTAAGAGGTCATATGAGTACGAATTCAGTGATAATTCAAGTGATTTGAAGAGTTTGTTCCAAGTCTTTCTGCTACAGTGTGGTATTGCTTGCTTTTTTTTTTTTCTTTTAATATTAGTACTAAACATCAATTTTCATTTTGCTTAAGTTTCAGTGGTTTTGCCCTGGTTTAATGCATATATGGTTGCTGTAAGAACTTGTTGTATTTTTATTTCTGTAGGACAGAACTTACATCTTGAAATTTACTATGGGCAGTATTATAAATATTCAGAGAAAACTGCTATACCTGGGACTTTGCACTTTGAGTGCCAGAGAGGAAAACTTTTTGTACTTTGCTTTAGAGTGGTGGTTTAAAGAGATCACAAACCTTTTCTTGATATTTGATTATATGATACTAATAAATGTAAGCATCATTTTTGGATATTAAAATGATAATTTAAAAACATGAATGATTCTTTAACTTATTTTTTAAATGAATGAAGTAATTTTGTTTATATGTTAAGGTATTGTTAATTGTACACTTTAGCTTAAGGTTTATTCATGATTAGACCATTGCATTATGGTCATATGGTGGAAAGTAAAATTGAATAAACTATTAGCTGAAATATTTGCGAGTAAACTAGTTTTTACAGTGGAGTTGTAGAGAGTACTAAACCAGATCTTTTATTATTTTCCATTTGTGAATTTGAGCCAGTCATTTCAGTTCTCGTCCTGTTGTTCTTGGTCTATAAAATCAGAAGATTGGATCAGATTATCTTTTAAGGTTCCTTCAAACCTTAAAAGATAAGTCTTTAATTTTTTTATGTAGGAATTACTGGATAAGGGGTCTAAAATGGTTTTGAGGCAGTGGTTCATGCCTGTAATCCTAGCACTCTGGGAGGCCAAGGTGGATGGATCTTTTGAGCCAGGAGTTAGAGAACAGCCTGAGCAAGAGTGAGACTCCATCTCTACTAAAAATAGAAAGAAATTAATTGGCCAACTAAAAATATATAAAAAATTAGCCAGGCATGGTGGTGCATGCCTGTAGTCCCAGTTACTCGGGAGGCTGAGGCAGAAGGATTGCTTGAGCCCAGGAGTTTGAGGTTGCTGTGAGCCAGGCTGACGCCCTGGCACTCTAGCCCAGGCAACAGAGTGACACTCTGTCTCAAGAAAAAAAATAATAAAATGGTTTTGAGTATATCTCTGAAGACAGTGGGGTCAAATTTATGATTATAAGAACTTAAGTAATTGCAGGTACAACGTTAAGGGTATTAGCAGAGATTTCCCACTTAGTATTTGCCTCTGTGGTCTGGTACTGATATATTGTTTTTATATTTCTCAGATTGTATATGTAAAGAGTGCATAATATCCTTATTTATCCAACACCAAATTTGAAATTTAAAAAAAACCGCTAAATTTGGCAACATTACAGATTATCTCTTTCTGTTTTCTTAAAGGATTTAAGAATTTCAGAAGTGCCTGTTATTCATGCTGCTACCAGTGCAGCAGGGGTTTTATGTCTGCCAGAAACACCAAGGGAATGGGTGCTATATGAAAGAGCATAGTTGCCTTTCCTGACACTCACCTCAGAATTTTACCTTGTTTTTATTTAATTCATTAGCAACTTGGCATTCATAAATGTATACAAATGTTTTTGAAGAAGCAAGTCTACTTTCATTTCTCATTTGATCAATGTGAACTACATTAGGAGTGGGTTAAAGTGGCTGGTATGAACGTTAAATTGCTTTCTTTGACAGTAATCTTAAAGATCTGGTATAGTTTTAATTAATTAAACTTACATGATTGCACTTAGAGGTGGAAATTTTATGTAAAAAATGTCTCCTGTTTCATTAAACTTAGTAGATGAGAACATCTTTTGTTTTTTGGTTTTGAACTGAAGAAGTGGATTATATTTTTAAAGGGGGGGGGCAGAGATACCTTTTAAACAGAATACGGCCCCAGTAGACAGACCTAGGAAATGGGTTCTGTATCAGTTGTGGATTAGGCTAAGAGGATGATTACATTAGGCTCTGGAAGAATTTGCTGACTACAGATAAATATTAGCAATAACCCATGTGAGAAGCAATACATTTAAGGTGAAAGGCACTGGGTTATGATAGAAGAGTCTAGTTCTACTGATGCCTCCATTGACTAGTATTCTTTCTGTTTGATAAAGTAGTCACTGTACTTGATGTTGAAGTTACAAAGGTTTCAAATTGGTGGCATTTAAAAACAAATTTTGGGGATAATGAGAATAAGATTAAACCTGGGAGAATTGTTTAACCCTTAGAGAGTCAGTGTAAAGTTCCCAGAGAGTGAACTCTGGCTAAGTTGAATCTTACAGAACTTGTAGGAATTGGCCAGGGAAATTGGAAGAGGCAGAGAGTTGCTCAGCATCTTAATAGTTAAAAGAATTTACTGTCTGCTTTTTCAAGACTGGAGACTCAATGCTATGCTGACTCTCTTACTGTGTGAAACTTCCAAATAATATAATAATATAATTAATATAATAAATTAATATAATAAAAACTCACTATATTACTTATTGCCTTATTACAAACACTATGTCCTTTACTATATTTTAATAATTAGTTGCCTATATCATTGTTCTTTTTTTCATTGCATCCTTTAGTCATATTATTTTAGGATAAATATGGAAATATTCTATGCATGAAACTACACGATTAAACTTTTTACACATGAACTGGTTACCTCTTGCTGATTTTTTTTATGAAATGTATTTGTTGGATATGTTTATAAACCTTAGCATTTTGTGATATTTTGCAATTTTATTACTTTATCATTGAGGTGCAAAAGTGACTATATTGTTGATAGACATTAAAAACAACATATTGGGCCGGGCGCTGTGGCTCACGCCTGTAATCCTAGCTCTTGGGAGGCCGAGGCGGGCGGATTGCTCAAGGTCAGGAGTTCAAACGTCGAGCAAGAGCGATTGACGTCTCTACTATAATAGAAAGAAATTAATTGGCCACTGATATATATATAAAAAATACCGGGCACTGGTGGCGCATGCCTGTAGTCCCAGCTACTCGGGAGCTGAGACAGAAGGATCACTGGAGCCCAGAGTTTGAGGTTTCTGTGAAGCTAGGGTGACGCCACGGGCATCACTCTAGCTGGACAACAAAGCGAGACTCTGTCTCAAAAACAAAACAAAAAAAAAAAAAAACAACATATTGTAATCATCTGCTTAGAAAAATAGAATATAATAAAATATTAAAAGCTATAACTATTAGGATTTTGTGCATTTTTGTATGATCTAATTTTTTCAGTGAGATTTACTTTATTGCTTGAAGTACTAAAAATGTATTTTCATAATGAAAAGAAAACTAGATAAAATTTGGTATTCAAGGCCAGGAGC